AACCAGTGTGGGCGGGTCTCTGCGGACATATTTGCAATACCACTCCAGGGGGGTGGGGGTGTACCCGGAAATAGAATTGTCCAATGCTTTTTTATGGTGCCTGGTGCCGGCTAACGCACTGGGAAATCTGCTTTACTGCAATGAAATAATTACTGACTTTTCCTCAGTGTGGGACAAATGAAGTGTCTGTCTCTCCCTCTCGGTCGCTCTCTGTCTCTCTCTCGGTCTCTCTTGGTCTGTCTTGGTCTCTCTCGGTCTCTCTCGGTCTCTCTCGGTCTCTCTCGGTCTCTCTCGGTCTCTCTCGGTCTCTCTCGGTCTCTCTCGGTCTCTCTCTGTCTCTCTCTGTCTCTCTCTGTCTCTCTCTGTCTCTCTCGGTCTCTCTCGGTCTCTCTCGGTCTCTCTCGGTCTCTCTCGGTCTCTCTCGGTCTCTCTCGGTCTCTCTCGGTCTCTCTCGGTCTCTCTCGGTCTCTCTCGGTCTCTCTCGGTCTCTCTCGGTCTCTCTCTGTCTCTCTCTGTCTCTCTCTGTCTCTCTCTGTCTCTCTCTGTCTCTCTCTGTCTCTCTCTGTCTCTCTCTGTCTCTCTCTGTCTCTCTCTGTCTCTCTCTGTCTCTCTCGGCCTCTCTCGGCCTCTCCTCTCTCGGCCTCTCTCGGCCTCTCCTCTCTCGGCCTCTCTCGGCTCCTCTCTCGGCCTCTCTCTGTCTCTCTCTGTCTCTCTCTGTCTCTCTCTGTCTCTCTCGGTCTCTCTCGGTCTCTCTCGGTCTCTCTCGGTCTCTCTCGGTCTCTCTCGGTCTCTCTCGGTCTCTCTCGGTCTCTCTCGGTCTCGCTCGGTCTCTCTCGGTCTCTCTCTGTCTCTCTCTGTCTCTCTCTGTCTCTCTCTGTCTCTCTCTGTCTCTCTCTGTCTCTCTCTGTCTCTCTCTGTCTCTCTCTGTCTCTCTCTGTCTCTCTCTGTCTCTCTCTGTCTCTCTCGGCCTCTCTCTGTCTCTCTCGGCCTCTCTCGGCCTCTCCTCTCTCGGCCTCTCTCGGCCTCTCTCGGCCTCTCCTCTCTCGGCCTCTCTCTGTCTCTCTCGGCCTCTCTCGGCCTCTCTCTGTCTCTCTCGGCCTCTCTCGGCCTCTCCTCTCTCGGCCTCTCTCGGCCTCTCCTCTCTCGGCCTCTCTCGGCCTCTCCTCTCTCGGCCTCTCTCGGCCTCTCCTCTCTCTGCCTCTCTCGGCCTCTCTCTGTCTCTCTCGGTCTCTCTGTCTCTCTCTCGTCATAGTCTGAGGATACGACTGGCCAATTGAGTTTGAGATAAGATCATTCAGACAGAAGGGGCGGGGAGACGTGAGAGATGTTGTAACTTGGTTCAAAGCTCAGGAGTTTGTCTAATGATTAAAATGAGAATGAATAAATTAACTGGCCACACCTGCAGGTGAAAGCCAGATCCTGTCAGACCTCTGAAGCTAAGCAGGACAGGGCCTGGTTAGTGCTGTGATGGGAGACCTCTGGGAACACCAGGTGCCACAGAGGGGTAGATGTAGTGCCAAACTGTGGTTGTGTTCTTAGGCAAGACACTTCCCCCACATTAGAATGAGTCTGGTGTGTGTGTGAATGGTTGGTGGTGGTGGGAGGGGCCTCGCTTCTGTCTGTGTGCCCCAGGGCAGCTGTGGCTACAATAGTTGTTTAGCCTTACTGTGTTTGAGACTTTGAGAGTCCAATACGGCGCTGCATAAAACACTTATTATTATTATAATTATGAATATATCTGTAATGTATTCAGGCCATTTGAGAATCTGTTGCTTATTTACTGTATACAGTCTTTTTCTGCTGTTAATAGAGAAGTGTGGAATAGTTTTTGTTGTTGGGAAAGATCAATATTTTATGTAATCAAACAAAGCTCGGATCCATAAATCTGAACCCGCTGCCAGAGTTATTCTTAGCTTCTGTGTCAGACTGAAACAACACTATAGAAATCGACTTTAGTATCGACGTTTCTGTTCCCGTTCCTACGTCAGCTTTATTTTGTCTAACTTCATTCAACATCTTTTAAAGCAACATTCTGCATTTTGGTGTTGGCAGTATTTTGTAAAAGTAGTAGTTGTAGAACAGCTTGAAGTTTTGCACAATTTGAGCATGGACTGTTTTTAGATCTGAGTCAATGTGGAAATGAAGACGAAGGCGAGAGCTCGTTACCGGCGCCGAGAATAGAACCGTTATTAAGCAACAAGTAACGGTTCAAAAACACATACCACAAACTCAGACTTTGGCAAAAAAATGGCTTCTTGTAACAAAAATACTGGTGGGAAAACAATCAATTCTGTTCAGTATCGCGATATTTTGTGCACGGCATTAAATCGATACAGTAAAGAAAAGTATCACAATATTTAATTTGATTAATTTGACTGTTTCATGTTTGTGGTTTCTCTGAATTTACTCTGATGTCTGCTTGTTGTGACTCTATGACGTCTGCTTGTTGTGACTCTATGACGTCTGCTTGTTGTGACTCTATGACGTCTGCTTGTTGTGACTATGACGTCTGCTTGTTGTGACTCTATGATGTCTGTTGTGACTCTATGACGTCTGCTTGTTGTGACTATGACGTCTGCTTGTTGTGACTCTATGACTTCCGCTTGTTGTGACTCTATGACGTCTGCTTGTTGTGACTCTATGACGTCTGCTTGTTGTGACTCTATGACGTCTGCTTGTTGTGACTCTATGATGTCTGTTGTGACTCTATGACGTCTGCTTGTTGTGACTCTATGATGTCTGCTTGTTGTGACTCTATGATGTCTGCTTGTTGTGACTCTATGATGTCTGCTTGTTGTGACTCTATGATGTCTGCTTGTTGTGACTCTATAATGTCTGCTTGTTGTGACTCTATGTCTGCTTGTTGTGACTATAGTCTGTTGTGACTCTATGATGTCTGCTTGTTGTGACTCTATGATGTCTGCTTGTTGTGACTATAGTCTGTTGTGACTATGACGTCTGCTTGTTGTGACTCTATGACGTCTGCTTGTTGTGACTCTATGACTTCCGCTTGTTGTGACTCTATGATGTCTGCTTGTTGTGACTCTATGACGTCTGCTTGTTGTGACTCTATGACGTCTGCTTGTTGTGACTCTATGACGTCTGCTTGTTGTGACTCTATGATGTCTGTTGTGACTCTATGACGTCTGCTTGTTGTGACTCTATGACGTCTGCTTGTTGTGACTCTATGACGTCTGCTTGTTGTGACTCTATGACGTCTGCTTGTTGTGACTCTATGACGTCTGCTTGTTGTGACTATGATGTCTGCTTGTTGTGACTCTATGATGTCTGCTTGTTGTGACTCTATGATGTCTGCTTGTTGTGACTCTATAATGTCTGCTTGTTGTGACTATAGTCTGTTGTGACTCTATGATGTCTGCTTGTTGTGACTCTATGATGTCTGCTTGTTGTGACTATAGTCTGTTGTGACTCTATGATGTCTGCTTGTTGTGACTCTATGTCTGCTTGTTGTGACTATGATGTCTGCTTGTTGTGACTCTATGACGTCTGTTTGTTGTGACTCTATGACGTCTGCTTGTTGTGACTCTATGACGTCTGCTTGTTGTGACTCTATGACGTCTGCTTGTTGTGACTATGACGTCTGCTTGTTGTGACTCTATGACGTCTGCTTGTTGTGACTCTGTGACGTCTGCTTGTTGTGACTCTATGATGTCTGTTGTGACTCTATGACGTCTGCTTGTTGTGACTCTATGATGTCTGTTGTGACTCTATGACGTCTGCTTGTTGTGACTCTATGACGTCTGCTTGTCGTGACTCTATGACGTCTGCTTGTTGTGACTCTATGACGTCTGCTTGTTGTGACTCTATGATGTCTGCTTGTTGTGACTCTATGACGTCTGCTTGTTGTGACTCTATGACGTCTGCTTGTTGTGACTCTATGACGTCTGCTTGTTGTGACTCTATGACGTCTGCTTGTTGTGACTCTATGACGTCTGCTTGTTGTGACTCTATGATGTCTGTTGTGACTCTATGACGTCTGCTTGTTGTGACTCTATGATGTCTGTTGTGACTCTATGACGTCTGCTTGTTGTGACTCTATGATGTCTGCTTGTTGTGACTCTATGACGTCTGCTTGTTGTGACTCTATGACGTCTGCTTGTTGTGACTCTAGGACGTCTGCTTGTTGTGACTCTGACGTCTGCTTGTTGTGACTCTAGGACGTCTGCTTGTTGTGACTCTAGGACGTCTGCTTGTTGTGACTCTAGGACGTCTGCTTGTTGTGACTCTATGACGTCTGCTTGTTGTGACTCTAGGACGTCTGCTTGTTGTGACTCTATGACGTCTGCTTGTTGTGACTCTATGACGTCTGCTTGTTGTGACTCTAGGACGTCTGCTTGTTGTGACTTTAGGACGTCTGCTTTGTTGTGACTCTAGGACGTCTGCTTGTTGTGACTCTAGGACGTCTGCTTGTTGTGACTCTATGACGTCTGCTTGTTGTGACTCTAGGACGTCTGCTTGTTGTGACTCTATGACGTCTGCTTGTTGTGACTCTATGACGTCTGCTTGTTGTGACTCTAGGACGTCTGCTTGTTGTGACTCTATGACGTCTGCTTGTTGTGACTCTATGACGTCTGCTTGTTGTGACTCTAGGACGTCTGCTTGTTGTGACTCTATGACGTCTGCTTGTTGTGACTCTATGACGTCTGCTTGTTGTGACTCTAGGACGTCTGCTTGTTGTGACTCTATGACGTCTGCTTGTTGTGACTTTATGACGTCTGCTTGTTGTGACTCTATGAAGTCTGCTTGTTGTGACTATAGTCTGTTGTACATTAATCACGATACATCTCAGAATTGAACCACAAACTGTTTGTATCGCGATATGTGAAGAATCACGATAATATTGAATCATGGCCTAAATATCGCGATACTTTCAAATTCTAACTTTTTTGCCCATTCCCAGCTTTAATACCATTACTGGACTGAGACAGAAGGAACTAACGTGACTGAATAATGTTTTCTTAAAGCTACACTGTGTAGTTTTTGCTCCCATGTAACATTAAGATCATATTGTAGTCTACAGTGCTACGGTGGCCTCACAGGACAATATGTGGTCTGTGACAGTGGTCCCCAACTCCCGCTCAAACTCCTTTTTGTCCCTTATCAACCACTGTATTTCAAGATGGCGGATTGACACGGATAGTCCTCAGCCTTATGTACATTTATATGTCAAATTCTAAGTCTATGACAAAAGTTCAAAAACATGGTGCAGGTAAATATTCTTAGAAAAGGTCACATTTGTTGTTGGTTAGCAAGTGTAAAAATTACACAGAGTGGCTTTAATGCTGTGTTGTGGCGTCTGCAGAACTGCCTGATCAAGTGTGAGGACAGCGGTTACTCTGCGGTGGTGGGAGACTTCGGCCTGGCAGAGAAGATCCCCACAAACACGTGAGTCCCTGTCATCTGTTTACATTCTTACACTCAGGATCAGTGTCAGCGCTGGGCCTCCCGGTGCTGCCCTCTGCTGGTGGAACACAGCATTTCACATTACACTCTGCTCACATGTCCAAAACCGTATTCATTCAGAATCAGGACGTTTCGGTTTTATGCCTTTATCAGATCATATTTTTATTTTTATTTTGACCACAAACTAAATAACTTTTAACATTCAGACTGTTCACAGATGGACGATGCTAACCTCCTAGCTTAATGTTGTACTGCTACATGTGTTTGTGAATTTCCATGCTGTTTTGTCTTGACTTTTTGTGTGTTCTTTTGTGCGTATGAAGCATTGTGGGAAGCTGGGTTTGTGTTAAATGTGCGATACAAAAAAACAGACGTTAAACTCACATAATAAGATCAAATATGTAAAAATATGAACTTATATTTTCACTTAAAACGTTGCATAATAGACATTTTTAAAGCCAACATCAATCAGTTTGAACCTACATTATTTTTGGTGATATTGAGTCGCATCTTGTTTGCTTAAAGCTAGGGTACCTGACTTTCAAACCACAGCAGATAAATGTTAAAGTCCAACCATGTCCTGGATCTACAGCAAAGAAAAGTAGTTTATTTTCAGTTCTGTTCCAGGTTCAGATACTTGCCTTGATTCTTTTTATCTTGTTGAAGGAGAACAAGACTATCTTGAACAGAAGAACTAGTTTTAATCTTTGACCCAGATCTGTGAAATATGCTACAGACTTTGTGAATAAATACAAAATGTCATTAACAATAGTAATAATAAAGTCTTGGCAGAAGGAATCCAAGTATTTAACACACGTAGTTTTTATAGATAAATAAGGAGCAGCTTGTTGTGATGTCACGCGTCGTTGTGATGTCACGTGTCGTTGTGATGTCACGTGTCGTTGTGATGTCACGTGTCGTTGTGATGTCACGTGTTGTTCTGATGTCACGTGTCGTTGTGATGTCACGTGTTGTTGTGATGTCACGTGTCGTTGTGATGTCACGTGTCGTTGTGATGTCACGTGTCGTTGTGATGTCACGTGTCGTTGTGATGTCACGTGTAGGCCTGTCGCGATAGTCAATAAATCAATTAATCGCACGATAAATAAAATTTGCTCAATAACTTTTCTGGCCGCGATAAATCCCATTTGCAGCTTGTTTGTTTCCCCCGTCTCTCTCGGGTCAGAGAGCCGCAAAGTGGTCACGGGAACATTAGCGGTCTAGCAAGCAGACGGAAATTACTCAAAAATACAAAATACAGCCAAAACAGGACCTAAACCAGGACTTAACCAGGATTGACAATGGGGGACACAGTAGTTGTGAACATATGCCGGCAGCTGAGTTCTCATTCAGGCTTGATTAGTGACTATACTAGCGCAGCTAGCGTTAGCGTGTTCGCCGATGCAGAAGTACCGTACCAATAAAATAAACTTATGGCGCACCTCCGTGAACACATACTGCTGTTATATAAAGTCTCTAGAAGGTCTCTGAACACAGAGATGCTGCAGACTTGCATTCTTGGAGTAGAACGTTACACAAAAAACCCGCTAGCTTAGCTGTTAGCATCAAAGCCCGCCCCGCTACTTCCGGTGGGCGCTACCGCAGCAGGACTTCTGTACGCCCCATTGGTGAACCCACATGTCAGTCACTTGTCATTCGCCTGGTGTGTCTTAAGCCACACAAAGTCAACATGTTGGTATTTCTTTCTCTTAATCTGCCATAAAGTCTGAGAAATTATTGACATTTGAGGCATCTGTTTCATATTTTCTTTACAAAGGTCCTGGCAGTTTTATTCCTGGTCATTTTTTGTTAAGAGACTGAGTCTATTTTATTTATTGTTTTTGGTTGTTTGTTAATTTATTGTGTTCTAGCGTTAAATATTTGTTAAAAATAAAAGTTTATTTCTCTTTGAAAAGGTGTACCTGCATTATCATTGTAATCGATGCAAATGATCTCAGAACGACAATATAATCGCTTATCGCAATAATTTCTGAGACAATTAATCGTCCAGCAAAATTTGTTATCGTGACAGGCCTAGTCACGTGTCGTTGTGATGTCACATGTCGTTGTGATGTCACGTGTCGTTGTGATGTCACGTGTCGTTGTGATGTCACGTGTCGTTGTGATGTCACGTGTCGTTGTGATGTCACGTGTCGTTGTGATGTCACGTGTCGTTGTGATGTCACGTGTCGTTGTGATGTCACGTGCCGTTGTGATGTCACGTGTCGTTGTGATGTCACGTGTCGTTCTGATGTCACGTGTCGTTGTGATGTCACGTGTCGTTGTGATGTCACGTGTCGTTGTGATGTCACGTGTCGTTGTGATGTCACGTGTCGTTGTGATGTCACGTGTCGTTGTGATGTCACGTGTTGTTGTGATGTCACGTGTCGTTGTGATGTCACGTGTCGTTGTGATGTCACGTGTTGTTGTGATGTCACGTGTTGTTGTGATGTCACGTGTCGTTGTGATGTCACGTGTCGTTGTGATGTCACGTGTTGTTGTGTTGACACGTGTCGTTGTGTTGACAGTGCGGAGGCAGAGAAGCTGACGGTGGTGGGCTCTCCGTTCTGGATGGCCCCTGAGGTCCTGAGGGGAGAGCGCTACAACGAGAGGGTGAGAGACCATAGAACCTGCAGTACTTTAGCACTAGTACTTTAACACTACTCTAGTACTTTAGCACTAGTACTTTAACACTACTCTAGTACTTTAGCACTAGTACTTTAACACTACTCTAGTACTTTAGCACTAGTACTTTAACACTACTCTAGTACTTTAGCACTAGTACTTTAGCACTAGTACTTTAACACTACTCTAGTACTTTAGCACTAGTACTTTAGCACTAGTACTTTAACACTACTGTAATACTTTAGCACTAGTACTTTAACACTACTCTAGTACTTTCACTAGTACTGTACTTGTAACACTACTGTAGTATTTTGTGCGTGTGTGTGTCTGCGTGCGTGTGTGTCTGTGTGTGTGTCTGTCTGTGTCTGTGTGTGTGTGTCTGTCTGTGTCTGTGTGTGTGTGTCTGTCTGTGTCTGTGTGCGTGCGTGTCTGTCTGTGTCTGTGTGTGTGTGTCTGTCTGTGTCTGTGTGTGTGTCTGTCTGTGTCTGTGTCTGTGTGTGTGTGCGTGTCTGTCTGTGTCTGTGTGTGTGCGTGCATGTGCCTGTGCGTGTCTGTCTGTGTCTGTGTGCGTGCGCGTCTGTGTGTGTGCGTGCATGTGCCTGTGCGTGTCTGTCTGTGTCTGTGTGCGTGCGCGTCTGTGTGTGTGCGTGCATGTGCCTGTGTGTGTCTGCGTGCGTGCCTGTGTGTGTCTGTCTGTGTCTGTGTGTGTGTGCATGTGCCTGTGCGTGCCTGCGTGTGTGTGTGTGTGCGTCTGTGTCTGTGTGTGTGTGCATGTGCCTGTGCGTGCCTGCGTGTGTGTGTGTGTGTGTGTGTGTCCAGCCTGATGTGATTCACGGCTAATCCTACAGCTTTAAGTTTGTATGTATCGCCTTGTTTCACAGCAACCTGTACTTTTAATGTATTTATGTTTCTATACTGTATATAGATATAAATAACTGTGAAGTGAGATATGAACCTGAGTCTGCTCTAGAAGCTCTGTCCCAAACCTGGTGTGTTCTGTCTCAGGCCGATGTGTTTTCCTTCGGGATCGTTCTTTGTGAGATCATCGCCAGAGTTCAGGCCGATCCAGACTTTCTGCCACGAACAGAGGTCAGTCTCAGTCATGGAAGTCAAAAGGTCTGGTCTCTCTCCCTGGTGTCTCTCCCTGGTCTCTCTCTGGTTTCTCTCTCTGGTCTCTTTCCCTGGTTTCTCTCTCTGGTCTCTTTCCCTGGTTTCTCTCTCTGGCTTCTCTCTGGTCTCTCTTTCTGGTCTCTCTCCAGTCTCTCTCTCTGGTCTCTCTCTCTGGTTTCACTCTCTGGCTTCTCTCTGGTCTCTCTCTCTCTGGTCTCTCTCTCTGGTCTCTCTCTCTGGTCTCTCTCTCTGGTCTCTCTCTCTGGTCTCTCTCTGGTCTCTCTCTCTGGTTTCTCTCTCTGGCTTCTCTCTGGTCTCTCTCTCTGGTCTCTCTCCCTGGTGTCTCTCCCTGGTCTCTCTCTGGTTTCTCTCTCTGGTCTCTCTCCAGTCTCTCTCTCTGGTCCCTCTCCCTGGTCTCTTTCCCTGGTTTCTCTCTCTGGCTTCTCTCTGGTCTCTCTCTCTGGTCTCTCTCCAGTCTCTCTCTCTGGTTTCTCTCTCTGGCTTCTCTCTGGTCTCTCTCTCTGGTCTCTCTCTCTGGTCTCTCTCTGGTCTCTCTCTCTGGTTTCTCTCTCTGGTCTCTCTCGCTGGATTCTGTCTGGTCTCTTTCTGGTCTCTCTGGTCTCTCTCTGGTATCTTTCTGGTCTCTCTGGTCTCTCTCTCTGGTCTCTCTCGCTGGATTCTGTCTGGTCTCTTTCTGGTCTCTCTCTGGTTTCTCTCGCTGGATTCTCTCTGGTCTCTCTCTGGTATCTTTCTGGTCTCTCTCTGGTCTCTCTCGCTGGTCTCTCTCGCTGGATTCTGTCTGGTCTCTTTCTGGTCTCTCTGGTCTCTCTCTGGTATCTTTCTGGTCTCTCTGGTCTCTCTCTGGTATCTTTCTGGTCTCTCTGGTCTCTCTCGCTGGAGACTGTCTGGTCTCTCTCTAAAAGTCTATAATCTCTAATGTTAGCATAATAAAGAAGTCTATAATCTCTAACTTCTGGTCGTGGCCGTTGAGCACAGACTGAGCAGACACTTCCTGGTCTCTCAGATCCATCATGTGGCTCTGACAGCAGCCTTCAGCTCCACTTTGATTCACCGCTCTCTGCTCTGACTGAAGGACCATGTGTCTCATTCACACCTGGTCCTGTCCTGGGGCCTCCTGTCCGCAGCCTCAGGATTTATCACAGACGGATTCTCTTCAACTGTTCGGAGCAAAATATTCACAATCTACAATATTTAAATCTAATTATTATTATATCTATTTAGTACATTTTAAATCTCCATGTTAAGCTCTATTTCTTTTTTAACAACAACTTATCTCACTGGTCGCTCTCTCTAGTCTCTCTAGTCTCTCTCTGGCTTCTCTATGGTCTCTTTCTCTGGTCTCCCTCTGACCTCTCTCTGGTCTCACTATGGTCTCTCTCTCTGGTCTCTTTTTCTGGCCTCCATCTGCTCTCTCTATGGTCCCTTTGGTCTCTCTGGTCTCAATGATCTCTCTCTCTCTGGCTTCTGTCTGGTCTCTTTGGTCTCTCTCTCTGGTCTCTCTCTCTGGTCTCTCTCTCTGGTCTCTCTCTCTGGTCTCTCTCTCTGGTCTCTCTCTCTGGTCTCTCTCTCTGGTCTCTCTCTCTGGTCTCTGTCTCTGGTCTCTCTCTGGTCTCCCTCTGGTCTCTCTGGTGAGGTGATGTTTCGACCTGAGTGTGTTTGTGATCCACAGAACTTCGGCCTGGACTATCACCAGTTCCAGAACATGGTTGGAGACTGTCCTCACGACTTCCTGCAGCTGACCTTCAACTGCTGCAACGTGAGCCTCACACTGTACCAGAGACACCACTCCACCTGGTTCACATCCTATACTATAAATGACCACCTAGTACCATAAGAAATTAGCACCAAATAAGTACAAGAAATCTACCGTGATGTCTCATAAGAACGCTCAGAGTCTGATGAATCCAAACTGGACTCAGGTTTTATAGTTTCCAGATGAAAGAAGCTCATGGTATTAGAGTATTAGAGTATTATCTGCTCTTTCTTCTTCTTTGTCCTTAATCCTTTTAATCCACGTTAATTTGATCAAAGAAAACCCTCAGATCCACTTCATCCTTTTAATGCATGTCTGTGGCGTTTGCATGTTCTCTCTGTGTCTGGGTGGGTTTCCTTCAGATGTCCGGCCTCCCCCCCACAGACACAAAACATATTCACCAAGATTAAAATCACACTAATGTACTCAGTTCAAACAGTCTGAATAGTTTGTTATAACTTTACAGAATCCAGAACTTAATCCAAACCAATTATGGACGATCCTGAGCTTCCATGAGGCTGTTGTGTTAGAAATATGAGTAGTCTTTTTAACTCATTTGAATTAGTTAGTTACCATAGCAACACACTGCTCACCATAGCAACACACTACTCACCGTAGCAACACACTGGTCACCGTAGCAACACACTGGTCACCGTAGCAACACACTGCTCACCGTAGCAACACACTGGTCACCGTAGCAACACACTGGTCACCGTAGCAACACACTGCTCACCGTAGCAACACACTGGTCACCGTAGCAACACACTGCTCACCATAGCAACTTACTGCTCACCGTAGCAACTCACTGGGCACCATAGCAACACTCTTTACCATAGCTACACTCTTTACCATAGCAACACTCTTTACCGTAGCGACACTCTTTACCATAGCGACACTCTTTACCAGTCTTTGCCATAGCAACACTCTTTATCAGTCTTTACCATAGCAACACTCTTTATCATAGCAACACTCTTTACCATAGCAACACTCTTTACCAGTCTTTACCATAGCAACACTCTTTACCATAGCGACACTCTTTACCATAGCAACACTCTTTACCATAGCAACACTCTTTACCATCGCGACACTCTTTACCATAGCAACACTCTTTACCATAGCAACACTCTTTACCATAGCGACACTCTTTACCATAGCAACACTCTTTACCATAGCAACACTCTTTACCATAGCAACACTCTTTACCATAGCAACACTCTTTACCAGTCTTTACCATAGCAACACTCTTTACCATAGCGACACTCTTTACCATAGCGACACTCTTTACCATAGCAACACTCTTTACCATAGCAACACTCTTTACCACTCTTTACCATAGCGACACTCTTTACCATAGCAACACTCTTTACCATAACAACACTCTTTTAATTTACAGTATTTAGCCTTTTGACTGTTTTGGTACAACAGAGAAGTTATGAAGAGCAAAAGCGTCTATAAGTGGAGTAACTTTCTTAATGAGAAGACGTCAAATTGACTGCTTTGGAAGTCCTAGTGTTAACAGTGTATAGTAGAAGTTCTCAGACCTAAGGCCTCGTCTTCATTGAGTCTTGCAGATTTCCGGCGCAGCTCTTTTAGTTTTGATAATTCTGTTAAATCTGCTCTTGTTGTTAATCTGTGATAATCCTCTGTGTCAGATGGACCCCAAACTGCGGCCCCTGTTCCCAGACATCGTGCGACCCCTGGAGCAAATCCTGGCTCGACTGAAACTGACGGAGCAGGACTCTGTCACCGAGGGCAACGACATGAAGAGCCTCAGCAAAGGTACGAAGTGTCAAATTTCAGTGTTGCATCACAGGTACAGGACACACAAGGTAAAGAACAATAACCCTAGCTCCGCCCCTTTTGCCGTTATATTTCATATTCAAAATGGCCACACTACATGTCATGGATTCAGAAAGAAAATACCAAAGAGAAGTGAGTGAATCCCGGGGGAGGAGTTAGGTGCCGGCTGTCAGAGGACTGAGGGGAGAGGGATGGCGGAACATAGTAAGACATAAATGAACACCGCTGTTGGAGCCAGTTTCCTGTGTTTTCCTTTGCTGCCTCCTGCCACTGTGTGGCGCCACCTAGATAGTATGCCCTATATAAGTGGGGCACTAATGACAGACAGGTGTTGTAGTGTGGAGGCAAACATCTTTCGACCGTTGTTTGTTACCACAGCTTTATATTTGTGTACTTGGCAACAATAAAGGATTGTAGAACACAGTATTTTGCTCTATTTGGATGGTGAGAGACACGCGTCCTAGACGCCAACACACTGCATCCAGCGGACCTTGCACAGGGCAAGTTTTGGCCGCTACATTGTCGAAAGATAGCCTCAGGTACCGTCTGGGCGTGAAGATTGCGTCAGCTGTGATTGGCACAGCGCGGTTTCCTGGAGAGGAGTGGACCCACGCCTACCGTGGCGGTGACTCGTTGCCACAGGGGCGCGGCGAACCGGCGGACTGTCGGCGGGAAGGAGGAAAGGGCAAAAACACCGGAGAGAGCACCGGCGTCCTCCACCACCAGCGCGGGCGAGGGAAGACTCGGCGCGCAAACTGTCCTGTCCTGCAGCACGGATCGGACCGCAGAGGAGTGGACCGCGGAGGAGCTCGGCACCGCGTTTGGAGAAGGCTACGCGTGGTGAGCAGTTCTGATTTCTGTGTGCGACATAATTCCGCACAGACTACACGTTTAGGAGCGGTACATGGACTGTGAGGTGGACACTGTAAAAAGGAATACTGTAAAAAATGTGCACCAGGGATTTGAACAAAACTGACAAAAAAGAGAGAGCTTCAGCTGCTGCAGCTTTGGTTAAAATAAAAGCTAAGCAAGCTGCGCTTCTAGTTAAAATGTCATTTTTGGAAGAGAAATATGAACTGGAAGCAAAGCAACTAGCCATTAAGAGACAATTGGAAGAGCTGGAATTTGAAACTAAAATGACTGAAGTGACAGCTAAACTTGCAGTGTTGAATGCCTCAAAGAAGCATCGGCATAAAAATAAATCTCTTCCAATAGAGCCTAGGGTGCAAACACAAGTCCCAACCACAACTGTCCCTGCAGTTATAAAAGAAACTAGGACTGATGATGACTGGGATGGATTTAACTGGGAGCCACCAGTTTATGTACCCACTTTGGTGGGTTCACTTGAGCCAACTGGGACCGCTGATGACTGGGATGGATTTGACTGGGAGCCACCAGTTTACATTCCCACTTTGGTGGATGCGCTTGAGCCAACAGGGGCCGGTAGTGCCACACAAATGGCTGATGTGAACTGTTCATCTTCACCAGACCGTCGGGAGGACTTTGAGATTTCCCTTATGGACCATGAGCGAACGGTGACATTGGATTTGGACACTGAGACATGCTCGTGGAAAAAGATGGACAGTACAGAGGATGAAGAGCAGGAAACTTCTGCTGTTCCTGTCTTATTGACTGCCTTGCAGCCTGTAGTGGGAGGCCTGCTGCAGCAGAAGCTGGCCTGCAGTGGCCCAGACATGGTCACACCAGGCCACACCAGGATTTTTCCACTGCCACAGTGGCGTAGTAAAAGCAAGCACAACAATGCTTTTGTAAGAAACACTCATTTTGATTTTGTTGTTCTCGTGAACTGTCTTTGGATTCTGTATGTGCTTTCAGCCAGCAAAATGTTTAAGCTAAAGTTGCGCAAAGCTTTCAAAAGAAAGCGCTGGAAATAGTTTTGAATAATGAAACATAACAGGATGGATATTAAATGCCAAATGTATTTTCTGTGTATTGAACAATGACTTTGAATATGTGGACATTGAAATTTTGTGTTTTTTGAAAAATATGTTCCCAATGTGACAAACTTGCTAAGTTAAAGTATGGCTCCATGTTTATTTGAATTTGTAATTGTTTAGCTCCTGGCTTTCACAATTAAGGGGCCGGTGTGTTGGAGCCAGTTTCCTGTGTTTTCCTTTGCTGCCTCCTGCCACTGTGTGGCGCCACCTAGATAGTATGCCCTATATAAGTGGGGCACTAATGACAGACAGGTGTTGTAGTGTGGAGGCAAACATCTTTCGACCGTTGTTTGTTACCACAGCTTTATATTTGTGTACTTGGCAACAATAAAGGATTGTAGAACACAGTATTTTGCTCTATTTGGATGGTGAGAGACACGCGTCCTAGACGCCAACACACTGCATCCAGCGGACCTTGCACAGGGCAAGTTTTGGCCGCTACAACCGCTAAAAACCGCTGTGAGTAAATGACGAGAGAAAACAACAAAAACAAAATCTGAGAAAAGTCCCATTTCACAATGTAATAAAAACAGCTGCATAAAAAGTCACTTTGTTGTTGTAACGATATGTTTAGTGAAAGTTTAGTGAAAGTGTCTCTGTTTGTGTTCAGGAGAGAAGTGCTTCAAGAGGCTGAACCCTCTGGGTTTTCAGGACGGAAAGATCCCGCCAAAGTCGCCCCGCCCCCGACGCAACATCTGGCTGAGCCGCAGCCAATCAGACGTCTTCTCCTGTAAACCAGGAAGGAAAGTGAACGTGCAGGACCCGTACTACAACCCTCTGGTGCAGAAAGAGGCTAAAGCTCCGAAGGTGAACCCGTTCACGGCGAGAGAGGACCTCTGCGGCGGCAAGATCAAGTTCTTTGATGTTCCCACAAAGTCTGTGTTCTCTCTGGTGTTCGACCTGCACTCTCCTCCAGGGAGCGTGTTCTGTCAGAAGCCGGCTAATGCTAACAGCGAGGACGCGTACTCATGGCAACAGTTACCAGGACGACAGTGTCACTCACTGCCCGTGTCTCCACGGTTACCGCACTCCTTCCAACTGCCGCCTGCCGTTGTCAACCACAACAACTGCGGCTCCGTGACGTGTGACGGCAGCCAGCCGCCAGGTCAGAGCCGTTACACATCTTCATATACTGTGTGTGTGTGTGTGTGTGTGTGTGTGTGTGTGGTATATACACACAGCCAGCCGCCAGGTCAGAGCCGTTACACATCTTCATATACTGTGTGTGTGTGTGTGGTATATACACACAGCCAGCCGCCAGGTCAGAGCCGTTACACATCTTCATATACTGGTGTGTGTGTGTGTGTGTGTGTGTGTGTGTGTGGTATATACACACAGCCAGCCGCCAGGTCAGAGCCGTTACACATCTTCATATACTGTGTGTGTGTGTGTGGTATATACACACAGCCAGCCGCCAGGTCAGAGCCGTTACACATCTTCATATACTGTGTGTGTGTGTGTGTGTGTGTGTGTGTGTGGTATATACACACAGCCAGCCGCCAGGTCAGAGCCGTTACACATCTTCATATACTGTAGATATATATAGTACACACAGCCAGCCGCCAGTTGTGTGTAGTTCATCAGTTGTGTGTGTGTAGTTCATCAGTTGTGTGTGTAGTTCATCAGTTGTGTGTGTGTAATTCAGTTGCGTGTTCTATGGCTAAGCACGCAAAGCAAACGCTAAAGAAAGATCAGTTGTGTGTGTAGTTCATCAGTTGTGTGTGTGTAGTTCATCAGTTGTGTGTGTGTAATTCATCAGTTGTGTGTGTAGTTCATCAGTTGTGTGTGTAGTTCATCAGTTGTGTGTGTAGTACATCAGTTGTGTGTGTGTAATTCATCAGTTGTGTGTGTAGTTCATCAGTTGTGTGTGTAGTTCATCAGTTGTGTGTGTAGTTCATCAGTTGTGTGTGTAGTTAATCAGTTGTGTGTGTAGTTCATCAGTTGTGTGTGTGTAGTTCATCAGTTGTGTGTGTTTGTGTGTTGCAGCTCTGAGCTCCAGAACAGACTCGTCTCAGAGCGACGTGAAGCAGAGAGCGGTGAGCGGCTGGAGCAGGAAGTACGTGGTGGTGGAGATCCCCCCCTTCTGCTGCAGGACACCCCCTGGGGCCGGTCCTGGATCAGACCCTGGATCAGACCCTGGATCAGACCCTGGAGCTGGCTCTGGGTCTGGGGGCTGTGACTGGGCCCTCGTACCCCCCTCTGAGAAGAACAGCTCTGAGGCCATGGACGTGTGCAGCCTGGAGGAGCCTCATGTTTAGACTCAGGGGTCAGAGGTCACAGAGGAGGGTTCAGTGGTTCTCAGCCCACGCTCACATCAGGAGAGAGGGTTTCTACCTTCATTCAATTTCAATATAGTTCAGTATATTTTTGTAATCACATAGTAATTATATGTCTCTGGTCTCTCTCTCTGGTCTCTCTCTCTGGTCTCTCTCTCTGGTCTCTCTCTCTGGTCTCTCTCTCTGGTGTCTCTCTCTGGTCTCTCTGGTCTCTCTCTCTGGTCTCTCTCTCTGGTCTCTCTCTCTGGTCTCTCTCTCTGGTCTCTCTCTCTGGTCTCTGGTCTCTCTCTCTGGTCTCTCTCTCTGGTCTCTCTCTCTGGTCTTGATGGGACATTGTGGTAGGAAGACCCCATTACAATCTGGAGATGATTCCTGGTGTGGGTGCGGTATGTGCGCTCCGAGGCTCCCTGCAGCAGCTGAGCACAGTCCCACATGTTGAGAACCGCTGAGTTGTTTCTGCTGCACTGATTTTCGGATAAACAGAATGTAAAGATATTTATAGATATTTTTGCTAAACTAAAGCCTCCGACGCAGACTCGGCTCCAAAAGACTCAGAAACTGAAACTATTATTTTGGAAAAGTGTAAAATATTGAAATTGTGTCGATTCATTTCCTTCTGTTGTAAAGAGCGCCGCAGTTCCAGGACACTCCGAGAATATTTTCAATTCAGTTTATTTTTGGGTGGCACTAAATCGCAGCAGTTTATTTCTGAGGACTTCACAAAACTGATGATTCTTCAGCAGCAGATCAGAAAATCAAACGGTTCAAACACGAGAAATGCACTGATGAAAAATGGACATGAACTTGGGTCTATGGCTGCTTAGGTCTTTGTCAAGGCTCAAGACCGGGTCTGGACTGGACTGGGTCTGGACTGGACCGGGTCTGGTCTGGACCGGGTCTGGACCGGGTCTGGATTGGCTCTGGACTTGGTCTGGACTGGGTCTGGATTGGGTCTGGATTGGCTCTGGACTGGCTCTGGATTGGGTCTGGACTGGGTCTGGACTGGGTCTGAACCGAGTCTGTACCAGGTCTGGACTGGGTCTGGACTGGGTCTGAATTGGCTCTGGACTTGGTCTGGACTGGGTCTGGATTGGGTCTGGACTGGGTCTGGACTGGCTCTGAACAAGGTCTGGACTGGGTCTGGACTGGGTCTGGACTATGATAAAAACACAGAGGATCGGTCCATAAATATTGACTTTTAGAAAATGAAATGACGAAGAGGAGACTGCTCTGTTCTGAAATGATCTTGGGTTCGTATTTACACTCAAACCCAAGATGCTGTGGTGTAGAATAAAGGTCATTTCACCGGAGAAATGACCAAAACTTGTCTAAAAATCATAAAAATCCAAATGGCTCTGATTATAACATCATACCACAATTTAACAATTGTAAACCGCTTTGAGACTCAGCTCTGCAGTGAAAAGGCGGTATATAAATAAAGATTACTTACTTACTTACTTACCAGGCTCATTCCCTCTGAGCAGAGACACGGGTCTAAACAACACGACATCGCAGCTGCCTCCAGACCTTGTTTTTGACCGTATTAAAAGTCAAACTCAAACACGATGAGAAGAGGTTTTTATATTATTTATTAGTGTTGAAAAATATTACAATAATAATATAATAATTCTGGCCTAATCTCCGACCTGCTGGGATCCTGCTTGGTTGGAATGAAAACCTGCAGACACACCGGTCTGGTCTGGCTCCTCCGGTCTGGCTCCTCCGGTCTAACCCTGGTATGGCTCCTCTGGTATGGCTCCTCTGGTCTGGCTCCTCTGGTCTGGCTCCTCTGGTATGGCTCCTCTGGTATGGCTCCTCTGGTCTGGCTCCTCTGGTCTGGCTCCTCTGGTATGGCTCCTCTGGTATGGCTCCTCTGGTATGGCTCCTCTGGTCTGGCTCCTCTGGTATGGCTCCTCTGGTATGGCTCCTCTGGTCTGGCTCCTCTGGTATGGCTCCTCTGGTCTGGCTCCTCTGGTCTGGCTCCTCTGGTCTGGCTCCTCTGGTCTGGCTCCTCTGGTCTGGCTCCTCTGGTCTGGCTCCTCTGGTCTGGCTCCTCTGGTCTGGCTCCTCTGGTATGGCTCCTCTGGTCTGGCTCCTCTGGTATGGCTCCTCTGGTCTGGCTCCTCTGGTCTGGCTCCTCTGGTCTGGCTCCTCTGGTCTGGCTCCTCTGGTCTGGCTCCTCTGGTATGGCTCCTCTGGTATGGCTCCTCTGGTCTGGCTCCTCTGGTCTGGCTCCTCTGGTATGGCTCCTCTGGTATGGATCCTCTGGTCTGGCTCCTCTGGTATGGCTCCTCTGGTATGGCTCCTCTGGTCTGGCTCCTCTGGTATGGCTCCTCTGGTATGGCTCCTCTGGTATGGCTCCTCTGGTCTGGCTCCTCTGGTCTGGCTCCTCTGGTATGGCTCCTCTGGTCTGGCTCCTCTGGTCTGGCTCCTCTGGTATGGCTCCTCTGGTATGGCTCCTCTGGTATGGCTCCTCTGGTCTGGCTCCTCTGGTATGGCTCCTCTGGTATGGCTCCTCTGGTCTGGCTCCTCTGGTATGGCTCCTCTGGTCTGGCTCCTCTGGTCTGGCTCCTCTGGTCTGGCTCCTCTGGTCTGGCTCCTCTGGTCTGGCTCCTCTGGTCTGGCTCCTCTGGTATGGCTCCTCTGGTATGGCTCCTCTGGTCTGGCTCCTCTGGTCTGGCTCCTCTGGTATGGCTCCTCTGGTCTGGCTCCTCTGGTCTGGCTCCTCTGGTCTGGCTCCTCTGGTCTGGCTCCTCTGGTCTGGCTCCTCTGGTCTGGCTCCTCTGGTCTGGCTCCTCTGGTCTGGCTCCTCTGGTCTGGCTCCTCTGGTATGGCTCCTCTGGTATGGCTCCTCTGGTCTGGCTCCTCTGGCTCTCTGGCTCTCTTGGTCCTCTGTTGGCTCCTCTGGTATGGCTCCTCTGGTATGGCTCCTCTGGTATGGCTCCTCTGGTCTGGCTCCTCTGGTATGGCTCCCTGGTCTGGCCCTTCTGGTATGGCTCCTCTGGTATGGCTCCTCTGGTATGGCTCCTCTGGTCTGGCTCCTCTGGTATGGCTCCTCTGGTATGGCTCCTCTGGTATGGCTCCTCTGGTCTGGCTCCTCTGGTATGGCTCCTCTGGTATGGCTCCTCTGGTCTGGCTCCTCTGGTATGGCTCCTCTGGTATGGCTCCTCTGGTCTGGCTCCTCTGGTATGGCTCCTCTGGTATGGCTCCTCTGGTATGGCTCCTCTGGTCTGGCTCCTCTGGTATGGCTCCTCTGGTATGGCTCCTCTGGTCTGGCTCCTCTGGTATGGCTCCTCTGGTCTGGCTCCTCTGGTATGGCTCCTCTGGTATGGCTCCTCTGGTCTGGCTCCTCTGGTATGGCTCCTCTGGTATGGCTCCTCTGGTATGGCTCCTCTGGTCTGGCTCCTCTGGTATGGCTCCTCTGGTCTGGCCCTTCTGGTATGGCTCCTCTGGTCTGGCGCCTCTGGTCTGGCTCCTCTGGTCTGGCTCCTCTGGTCTGACCCCTCTGGTCTAAACCTGGTCTGACCTTTGAACTGCTGAGCTCTGGTTCTGAACCATGACAAACACAAATGTTTCATGATCTTAAACTTTAAACTTTGATTTTGAGGCTGAGAATCTTCTGCAGAGAAGACTTTGATTTCAGTGTTCCTCAGATCAGCTCCATGTCGTTCTGTGTCTTTAACCTCCTTCTTCTTCTTCTGTCTTTAACCTCCTCCTCGTTCTTCTTCTTGTGTTTTAAAGATGTCTCTGGCACTGAGCAGTAAAAGTCCGTCACATTTCATTTAGTAACTTTAATATGTTTAATATAACTTTAAACACTTTGTTTGAATAAGTTAAAGGAGACGTATCGTGACGTTTGGACCTGAAGACTGAGCAGTTATATGTAGATGGTGTTGTGTCTATAGCACCACCTGCTGGTGACGTCTTTTGGCAACCAACATCTGTGGCAGTTAAGCCCTTTGTCAAGGGTCTGGACTGGGTCTGGAATGAGTCTGGACTGGTCATGGTCTGGTTATGGACTGCTTCTGGACTGGTCATGGTCTGGTTATGGACTGGTCATGGTCTGGTTATGGTCTGGTCATGCACTGGGTCACCGGACCTGGACTATTTGTAAGTTGTAGCACTAACTAAAAGTGAGTTGACGTTAAGAAAAAACTGATAAAATACTTGGTTGTAATAAATCGGATGAAAAAACGAAATATTTTTGGGAGCAGTCAAAATGACAGCTGTGGTCTTGGTGTTAAAAAGGTAAAACCCTGATCCGAGAATCCACGATACGTCTCCTTTAACCTGACCCGAGAGTCCACGATACGTCTCCTTTAACCTGACCCGAGAGTCCACGATACGTCTCCTTTAACCTGACCCGAGAGTCAACGATACGTCTCCTTTAACCTGACCCGAGAGTCCACGATACGTCTCCTTTAACCTGTAACTCTATGCAACGTAAACACATTTAAAGTAAACACTGTTGTAGACTATTCTATTTTTATGGTAAAACTGAAAAATGTCTTATTTTTGTAAATGTTTGATCCAATAATAACTGTCTTTAAACTTCTGTGTATGGGTTTTCTTTCACCGACATTTAAAGAGACAAACACTGAGCCCTGAGAGTCACTTTCTGACTCTTTGGGCTGAGAGCTGATTGGTCGAGAGACGGTGGTCCCCTCTCTTTAACTTTTAAAAATACATTAATGTGAAACTGTTTAGATCCAGGACCTAATGTTTATGAAAGGCCCCATTTCCACCAGACCTACTCTACCCCTACCCCTACTCCTACTCTACTCTACTGTACTCTACCCCTACTCTACCCTACCCTGCTCTACACCTCCCACAAATCAGTATCCAGGGAAATTCCTTGGTAACCGTGGCTTCCAGCAGCTTTCTGACCAATCACTGTCAGTTAGAACGCTTAAGAACCAGCTCGGCCTGGATAGAACCAGGACCAAGAGGGACTAAAGAAGGACCTGGTACTGGTTCTGGACCTGGTTCCACAGGACCAGAGGAGAGGAGGTGGAGATGGGGCTCAAGAGTCAGTGTTAGAGGTTTGAAAGTTAGGAACCCCAGCTTTAGTTCAGAGATGTCAGAAATAGATTTACGAACTGGTTCAAACCGGTTTAAATCTGTTTCAAACCTTTTTGACCCTGATCAAGTGTGTCCTAAAACCTATGTTATTGTTATATTTATATATGAATAATGTATATATTTGGTTTTATTCTTATTTAATGCGTTTTGTTCTTATTTGATTGTTAATGATGTTTATGTGATTTTTGTTTAATTATATTTTAGTCTTATATTCTGCAGCAAAATGTATTTATGAAAAGTGCTGCATAAATAAAGTGGAAATATTTAGAAATTTTGTAATATTTCACCTTTAAATAAATGTTCAGTTTTAAAATGTTAAAGTCTCATGAAAGCCCAGTTCACTGCAGATTACACTGAAATGTCTCCACAGTGAGACTAATAAAGGTTTATCCAATGTTATTTTATCAGTCCCTGTGCTCCTCAGAGCCCCAGCAGGAGGCCAGTCCCTGTGCTCCTCAGAGTCCCAGCAGGAGGCCAGTCCCTGTGCTCCTCAGAGTCCCAGCAGGAGTCCAGTCCCTGTGCTCCTCAGAGTCCCAGCAGGAGGCCAGTCCCTGTGCTCCTCAGAGCCCCAGCAGGAGGCCGGTCCCTGTGCTCCTCAGAGTCCCAGCAGGAGGCCAGTCCCTGTGCTCCTCAGAGTCCCAGCAGGAGGCCGGTCCCTGTGCTCCTCAGAGTCCCAGCAGGAGGCCGGTCCCTGTGCTCCTCAGAGTCCCAGCAGGAGGCCGGTCCCTGTGCTCCTCAGAGTCCCAGCAGGAGGCCGGTCCCTGTGCTCCTCAGAGTCCCAGCAGGAGGCCGGTCCCTGTGCTCCTCAGAGTCCCAGCAGGAGGCCGGTCCCTGTGCTCCTCAGAGTTCATATGTCCCAGTCTTAAACCTATAGAACTATGTCTGTAATTTTCTACCCTTTTATTAACCCATTTCTGGGTCGGGGGTTTGGCGATCAGAGCTGCCCAAGTCCCTCTGATCCTCCTGCAGGTGGTGGGTCCACAGGATGATGGCTTCTCCGTGAGCGAAGACATGGCCTTGGTCTGTCAGCGGGGGCTTCAGGCAACGTGGGGTTAAGTGTCTTGCCCAGGGACACAACAACAGCAGTCATCAGTGTGAGCAGGTGACATGGGTCATGGTGGACTCGAACCCACGACTGAGCTACTGCCGCCCCTATAAAATTATACATATTTTATTTTGCTTTTTTCAAACCTCCATCTGCTCCAAGCTCGGCCTTGAGTTTATGCCTCAGAGAATTAACACAGGTTTTATTATTATTATTATTATTATTATGATGATTCTCTTGTGACACACTGCTCTGGAGACAAATAGAGAGAAGTGATTTCATATCGACGTGAGCAGGAAGTGCAGAGGGGAAGTGGTTTGGTTTTCGTCACGGCTCGATGCTGCTTACACTTCGCAAACTCAAGGTACGAACGCTACTTTTCCCCATTTTTCTGACTCAAAACTGTCTTAAAAAACAGCTACGACACAAAAACACTGTTGGCATTTCTCTCAAGTGTCCACAGAAGCAGCTGGATCCGGCACTTTTGGGTTTTTAGTCTGGTTTCCGTCTTCAAAGATGGACCTCCAAAACCAGCCGTGCTTCTTTGCAGCTTTGTCATCAAATAGTTTTGCTTCAATTTGGATCAAAATCTTGGTTCAAAATGGGTTAAAACATTTTTTATGGATGTGTTTGAAGACATAAAAGTGTGACTTAGAAGTATGAGAATGTGTTTAACTTTGGGTGTGGCCAAGTGTTGATAAAAATGCATTCAACTTCAGAGTATTGTGTTGAAATGAACTCAGTCTGATGTGTTTTCTTTGCTTGTTCTTTCAGGAAAACGTCAAAAATGTTTGAGAAATTAACTGGAAGGAATCTCAAACTGCAGACGTCGGAGGAAATGGCAGCCGTCGTCGTGGAGACAAAGCTCTGAAGCGTTTCGAGGCTTTGGTTTTTGAGTTTTCCTCAAACGGATTCTATTGAAATTTGTTTGAATTTTTTAAAATCCAAGATGAGGCGAGCGCGAAGGAAAGCTGCGAACAAGGAGAAAGTGTTCGGTTGTGATTTGATGGAGCATCTCGCCGCCACGAACCAGGACGGTGAGTTTAACCAACACGGGACAGAAACTAAACACTGACTACACACGGACGACACACAGACGACACACGGACGACACACGGACGACACACGGACTAGACACGGACTAGACACGGACTAGACACGGACTAGACACGGACTAGACACGGACTAGACACGGACTACACACGGACTACACACGGACGACACACGGACGACACACGGACGACACACGGACGACACACGGACGACACACGGACGACACACGGACGACACACGGACTAGACACGGACTAGACACGGACTAGACACGGACTAGACACGGACGACACACGGACGACACACGGACGACACACGGACGACACACGGACGACACACGGACTACACACGGACTACACACGGACTACACACGGACTACACACGGACTACACACGGACTACACACGGACGACACACGGACTACACACGGACTACACACGGACGACACACGGACTACACACGGACTACACACGGACTACACACGGACTACACACGGACGACACACGGACTACACACGGACTACACACGGACTACACACGGACTACACACGGACTACACACGGATTACACACGGACTACACATAAACTGGTCTAGATGTACCTGTGATTGGTGTACCTGTGATGAATACATTACAAAAAGCTCTCAGGTCCTGTCAGACCTCTGAAGCTAAGTAAGTAAGTCATATTTATTTATATAGCGCCTTTCACAGACCAAAGTCACAAAGCGGTTTACAATTGTTATTTTTGGCCATTAGTCTCTGACTCCACACAGAGATGGGAGGGGCCGGTACAGGAGGCACAGAGCTATTGTGTATGTTTTTAGTGGTAGGGGAAACCGGAGGACCCGGAGGAAACCTACGCAGACACGGGGAGAACATGCAAACTCCACTCAGAATGGCCCTGTTCCAACCCGGATTCAAACCCAGAACCTTCTTGCTGAGAAGCGAGAGGGCTAACCACTCAGCCACCGTGCCACCCAGGGCAGGGCAGGGCCTGGTTAGTGCTGTGATGGGAGACCTCTGAACAGCAGGTGCCACAGTGGGGCGGCTGTAAAGTGCCAAACTGTGGTTGTGTCCTTAGGCAAGACACTTCCCCCCATTGGAATGAGTCTGGTGTGTGTGTATGGTTGGTGGTGGTGGGAGGGGCTGACATAGAGCTAGCATGTGTAGCTAACCCTCTCTCTCCTCAGTGCCGCTGGTTCTGCGCAGCTGCAGTGAGTTTGTGGAAAGTCACGGCATCGTGGACGGAATCTACCGACTGTCAGGAGTCTCCTCTAATATACAAAAACTCAGGTAATACACACTAACGCACACCTGGTGTACTTCCTGGTGCAATCTTGCGTGTAATCCCGCGTCTACTTCCTGGTGTACTTTCTGGTGTTATCCTGGTGTGTACTTCCTGGTGTGTCATTCCCAGTGTGAACTTCCTGTTGTACTTCCTGCTGTACTTCCTGGTGTAACCCCTGGTGTGTAGGTTGGCACTAGATCATATACGGAATTGGGACGAAACCGGAAGTAACAATCCTACTTTCGAATTAGTTTTAGACTAAAACGTCCTTAAGTGGTGACTGGTTAAGTTTAGGCGTCTGAGTAAGATGGTTAGGGTTAAGGTGGGTTGGGGTTATTTTATGGGAATGGCTGGTTAAGTTTAGGCATGAATAGGTAGTTTGTTTTATTTACTTCTGCTTCCGTCCAGATTCCGTATATGATCTAGTGCTGACCCTCGTGTGTATTTCCTGCTGTACTTCCTGGTGTAACCCCTGGTGTGTACTTCCTGTTGTACTTCCTGGTGTGTACTTCCTGTTGTACTTCCTGGTGTACTTCCTGGTGTGTCCACAGGGGGGAGTTTGAGAGTGACACTGGTCCAGAGCTGAACAGAGAGCTGTACCTGCAGGACATCCACTGTGTGAGCTCCCTCTGTAAGGCCTACTTCAGAGAGCTGCCCAACCCCCTCCTCACCTACAGGCTCTACGACAAGTTCGCGGTGTGTGTGTGTGTGTGTGTCTGTGGCTGTGTGTCTGTGTCTGTGGCTGTGTGTCTGTGTCTGTGGCTGTGTGTCTGTGTCTGTGGCTGTGTGTCTGTCTGTGTGTGTGTGTGTGTGTCTGTGTCTGTGTGTGTGTGTGTCTTTGTGTGTGTGTGTGTGCACTTGTTTTCAACTCCTGGTGGGTTCCATAACCTGAGATTCCACTCACGTCATGGGGACTGGTTTTACGTGGTGGGGCCCGAACACCGGACCCCACTGGTCCAAGCTTAATAATCAATGGGTAATGCTTTTCTAACGGTCCTTATGCAGTCTCTGTAAAAATATGGAAAGGACCCCTGGAGGTTTACTTTCCTGAAAAAAGTGTGTTATGTGTCGGAACCCTGGTGGTGGGTTGCGGGATATCAAGGAGGGGCACACTGGGGCAATTTCAGTCCAGCAGGCTGGAGCCAATCATGGAGCAGCACAACAGAGGAAATCAGGTGTCAGGCTAGAAAAAGGTGCAAGTGTGTGGTTCATTAGGCTGCAAGAAATCACAGAGCAGCACACTGAAGCGCACGCTTACAAACCACTGGTAAGTGCTGACTACAAGTCATGACTTCAAATTGTTATATAGAATGATTACAAATTATTTGTTGTTTGTGCAGCTTAGTCAAGAGTCCCTAATTGATGAAGTCGACTCAGATTCTGACGATTTAACTGTCAAGAAGAAACCTGTAAAAAAGTATGGAAAAAGAAAAATCAAAAACACTTTTCTTCAAGACTCGGAAAGTGACGAACCAAAGGCAAATAAGATTGTTATCATGCAGCTGCAAAAGAAGAAAAATGGGGGGCGAGTATACAGCAAGAGACACTTCTGCCTCTACTGTTCAATGTCCTGCCACAAAATGTCCCGTCATTTGACTAGAAAACATGGAAATGAAAGTGACGTAGCCAGAGCATTGGCTCTACCTGTGAAATCTAAAGCACGTAAACTTCAGTTTGATTTGATCAGGAATAGTGGAAACCGTGAGCACAATTTTGAGGTTTTAAAGGCCGGCATTGGAACTTTAGTCCCAGCTAAACAGCCAAATTGCCCAGTTAAATCCAGTGAGTTTTTGCACTGTATAGACTGTGGGGCATTGCTTAAGCGAAAGTCGCTGTGGAGGCATGTGGCCAGGTGCCGGCTTTCACAGAAAGATGCCCAGGCTAAACCAGGTAGAAGTAGGGTCCAGTCCCTCTGCTCCCTAGCCCAGCCTGTACCGGAGGGCATCAGCAAAAAGCTGTGGTCTTTAATTTCGGCAATGCATCAGGATGAGGTCACGGGTGTTGTCAAAGCAGAAAAGGGGATTCTGAGACTCGGAGAGCACCTGTACTTAAAACACGGGCATGATAAGACAAAGCATGATTACATTAGGCAGAAAATGAGAGAAGTCGGTAGGTTAATTAACGAAGCAAAAACCGCAGGGAAACTGAAAACAATTAAGGATTTCTTTATTCCTTCCAACTTTAACCATGTGATTGATGCAGTCAGGTCTGTGGCTGGATATGATGAGGAAACAAATCAATACAAGACTCCATCCTTGGCCCTCAAACTCGGCCATAGCCTCAGAAAGCTAGCAGATATTCTTGAATGTGACTCAAAAATGGAGCATTGTGTTGATGAACTATTTATTAAAAACCTCCAACGAAGCCGGCTGCTTTTTGAGAAGAGGTGGGACGTCTGTGTTTCTTCTGCTGCCCTACAGACCCTCCGGCAAGCCAAGTGGAACACTCCGGACCTGCTCCCTCTGACTGAGGACGTTAGAGCCATGCATGCACATATTGAGGTATGTCGACCTGAATATGTGCAAACCCTAATAAGTGAGCCAACGTCTAAGCATTGGTCTAAACTGGCAGTTTTGACTCTTTGTGAGGTCATCATTTTCAATCGAAGAAGGGAAGGTGAGGTTTCAAAGATGCCACTGACAGCCTTTACCTTAAGAAGTAAGACTGGGATCCATTCTGACATTGCTCTGGGACTGTCCCAACTTGAGAAAAAGCTGTGTCAGCATTTTCAACGCATTGAAATTAAAGGGAAAAGAAGTCGGAAAGTGCCGGTTCTTTTGACTCCTGAAATGATTGCTTCGATGGAGGTGCTGGTGGAGAACAGAAGGGCCTGTTCCATCTCTGACCATAACCCATACTTCTTTTCCCGCCCGGGCGCAGACACCCACATCAGGGGATCAGACTCCCTACGCCAGGTAGCCAAAGAATGTGGTGCGGTGCATCCAGAGATGCTATCCCTCAACCAAACTTAGAAAGCACATAGCTACTATGTCTACAGTTCTCAATATGAAAGAGAATGAGATGGACATACTTGCCAACTTCCTCGGCCATGACATTCGCATCCACAGGCAATATTACAGACTACCAGAGGGGACACTGGAGCTGGCCAAAATCAGCAAAGTGTTGATGGCCATGGAGCAGGGAAGAGTGACGGAATTCGAAGGAAAGAGCCTCGACCAGATACAAATTGAGCCTGAAGGTAATTCTTGATATTATTAAAATATGTATGATTTTTTTCCCCTAAAGGCCACTTGTATTTTTATTTTCTGTGCGACAGGGAGAGCAGTAGAGATCCTCTCACAAACGGACGGGCTAAAAGAAACTTCAAGCGGAGAACCTTCAACCATTCATCCAGATGCACCCCATGGTAGTGGCAGTGCCCCTTCTGGTAAGTGTACCAGGTGGGGGATTACAGCCAGGCTGCTTGGTCCTCACCCTGGGAGTGTATATTGCTAATATATTTTTATTTCTCTCCCTAGAACGTGTAAGAAAGCCATGGTCTGCATCTGAGGTGAAGGCTGTGGAGAAGACCATGACACCTTTCATACAGACTGGAAAGGTCCCTGGGAAGTCTCACTGCCTGGCCTGGCCTGGCCTGCATTAATGCCTCACCAGATGACCTTAGACATCGGACATGGAGTGGCATTAAATTCTATGTCAAAAATAGAATCACTGCAATTCGAAAACAAAATCTAAAATAAAATTCCTTTAAAATAGTTGTTTGGTTTCTATTGACTGTTTTGTATTACTTAAAGTCTTGGTAAAAAAAGATTATGTCTATGGGTCCCATTCTGAACGGCCCTGTCAAAGGGACCCACCAGGTAACAAAAACGTGTATGTGTGTGTGTGTGTGTGTGTGTGTGTGTGTGTGTGTGTGTGTGTGTGTGTGTGTGTGTGTGTGTGTGTGTCTTTGTGTGTGTGTGTGTGTGTCTGTGGCTGTGTGTCTGTGTCTGTGGCTGTGTGTCTGTGTCTGTCTGTGTGTGTGTGTGTCTGTGTGTGTGTGTGTCTTTGTGTGTGTGTGTGTGTGTCTTTGTGTGTGTGTGTGTGTGTGTGTCTGTCTGTCTGTGTGTGTGTGTGTGTGTCTTTGTGTGTGTGTGTGTGTGTGTGTGTCTGTGTGTGTGTCTGTGTCTGTCTGTGTGTGTGTGTGTCTGTGTCTGTGTGTCTGTGGCTGTGTGTGTGTGTCTCTGTGTGTGTCTGTGTGTGTGTGTGTCTGTGTCTGTCTGTGTGTGTGTGTGTCTGTGTCTGTGTGTCTGTGGCTGTGTGTGTGTGTCTGTGTGTGTCTGTGTGTGTGTGTGTATAATATAGTGTGTATAGTGTATATTGTGTGTATTGTGTGTAGGAGGCTGTGGCTCTGCAGTTGGAGGACGAGCGTTTGGTGAAGATCAGAGACGTCCTCAAAGAACTGCCTCCTCCTCACTACAGGTCAGAGGTCACTCACTACAGGTCAGAGGTCGCTCACTACAGGTCAGAGGTCGCTCACTACAGGTCAGAGGTCGCTCACTACAGGTCAGAGGTCGCTCACTACAGGTCAGAGGTCACTTATTACAGGTCAGAGGTCACTCACTACAGGTCAGAGGTCGCTCACTACAGGTCAGAGGTCGCTCACTACAGGTCAGAGGTCACTCATTACAGGTCAGAGGTCGCTCACTACAGGTCAGAGGTCGCTCACTACAGGTCAGAGGTCACTCATTACAGGTCAGAGGTCACTCACTACAGGTCAGAGGTCGCTCACTGATGGTCCTAATGACCCACCTGGTTCCAATGACCCACCTGGTCCCAAAGACCTACCTGGTCCCAATGACCCCCCTGGTCCCAATGACCCCCCTGGTCCCAAACCACCTGGTCCCAAACCACCTGGTCCCAAACCACCTGGTCCCAAACCACCTGGTCCTGTGCTGTGCACATTTCTTATGTTTATCCAAATATTTCTAAAACATAAAAACATAGTCATTATCTGTCAAAGCAAACAATGACACATTAAAGTGCTTTCTCGTTCACATTAAAGTGCTCTCTCTCCTTCACATTAAAGTGCTCTCTCTCCTTCACATTAAAGTGCTCTCTCCTTCACATTAAAGTGCTCTCTCCTTCACATTAAAGTGCTCTCTCCTTCACATTAAAGTGCTCTCTCCTTCACATTAAAGTACTCTCTCCTTCACATTAAAGTACTATGTGTCTGCAGGACGTTAGAGTTCCTGATGCGGCACTTGGTCCACGTTGCTTCGTTCTCCTCAGAGACGAACATGCACTCACGGAACCTCGCCATAGTCTGGGCCCCGAACCTGCTGCGGTAAGTCTCTCTCTGGTCTCTCTCTGGTCTCTCTCTGGTCTCTCTCTCTGGTCTCTCTCTGGTCTCTCTCTGGTCTCTCTCTGGTCTCTCTCTGGTCTCTCTCTAGTCTCTCTAGTCTCTCCCTGGTCCCTCTCTGGTTTCTCTGTGGTCCCTCTCTGGTCTCTCACTGTAGTCTCTCTCTGGTTTTTCTCTCTGCTCTGTCTCTCTGGTCTCTCTCTCTGGTCCCTCTCTGGTTTCTCTCTCTGGTCTTTCTCTCTGGTCCCTCTCTGGTCTCTCTCTGGTTTCTCTCTCTGGTCCCTCTCTGGTTCCTCTCTAGTCTCTCCCTGGTCCCTCTCTGGTCTCTGTCTGGTCTTTCTCTCTGGTCCCTCTCTGGTCTCTCTTTGTTTTCTCTCTCTGGTCTTTCTCTGGTCTCTCTTGTTTTTATTGAAGTATTTCTACATTGTACAGTCTGACAGTACCATGGTTCCTCTAATGGTTCTGTTGGTTCTGGTCTGTGCTCAGGTCCAAAGAGATCGAGGTCTGTGGTTTCAACGGCACCGCAGCGTTCATGGAGGTCAGGGTCCAGTCCATCGTCGTCGAGTTCATCCTCACACATGTACCACAGCTGTTCCCAGAACCAGGTGAGAGACCAGAGGGGGACCAGAGAGAGAGACCAGAGAGAGAGACCAGAGAGAGAGACCAGAGAGAGAGACCAGAGAGAGAGACCAGAGAGAGAGACCAGAGAGAGAGACCAGAGAGAGAGACCAGAGAGAGAGACCAGAGAGAGAGACCAGAGAGAGAGACCAGAGAGAGAGACCAGAGAGAGAGACCAGAGAGAGACCAGAGAGAGACCAGAGAGAGACCAGAGAGAGACCAGAGAGAGACCAGAGAGAGACCAGAGAGAGACCAGAGAGAGACCAGAGAGAGACCAGAGAGAGACCAGAGAGAGACCAGAGAGAGACCAGAGAGAGACCAGAGAGAGACCAGAGAGAGACCAGAGAGAGACCAGAGAGAGTCAAAATTGGTGAATGCCAGTTTCTCTTTTTCTGTGGCTCAGTCTCGGCCAATCAGCTTCACTTATTCACATCGTTAAAAGTCTACGATGTGTTTTTCAGGAGCGTCCAGTGAGAGAAGGAAGTCCCTCCCCTCTCCGTGCTTTTTGACCAATCAGGAGGAAGCATTTTTCAAACAACCGACAATGAACATCGGGAACCTGAGTCCTGGCGACGGCCCTCTGCCCATCCGGCCCTACCACTCCATCATCGAGGGCCCAGACAAGTGAGACCAGAGGGAGACCAGAGGGAGAGACCAGAGAGAGAGACCAGAGAGAGAGACCAGAGAGAGAGAGACCAGAGAGAGAGACCAGAGAGAGAGACCAGAGAGAGAGACCAGAGAGAGAGAGACCAGAGAGAGAGAGACCAGAGAGAGAGAGACCAGAGAGAGACCAGAGAGAGAGAGACCAGAGAGAGAGAGACCAGAGAGAGAGAGACCAGAGAGAGAGAGACCAGAGAGAGAGAGACCAGAGAGAGAGAGACCAGAGAGAGAGAGACCAGAGAGAGAGAGACCAGAGAGAGAGAGACCAGAGAGAGAGAGACCAGAGAGAGAGACCAGAGAGAGAGACCAGAGAGAGAGACCAGAGAGAGAGACCAGAGAGAGAGACCAGAGAGAGAGACCAGAGAGAGAGACCAGAGAGAGAGACCAGAGAGAGAGACCAGAGAGAGAGACCAGAGAGAGAGAGACCAGAGAGAGAGAGACCAGAGAGAGAGAGACCAGAGAGAGAGACCAGAGAGAGAGACCAGAGAGAGAGACCAGAGAGAGAGACCAGAGAGAGAGACCAGAGAGAGAGACCAGAGAGAGAGACCAGAGAGAGAGACCAGAGAGAGAGACCAGAGAGAGAGACCAGAGAGAGAGACCAGAGAGAGAGACCAGAGAGAGAGACCAGAGAGAGAGACCAGAGAGAGAGACCAGAGAGAGACCAGAGAGAGACCAGAGAGAGACCAGAGAGAGACCAGAGAGAGAGACCAGAGAGAGAGACCAGAGAGAGAGACCAGAGAGAGAGACCAGAGAGAGAGACCAGAGAGAGAGACCAGAGAGAGAGACCAGAGAGAGAGACCAGAGAGAGAGACCAGAGAGACCAGAGAGAGAGACCAGAGAGAGACCAGAGAGAGACCAGAGAGAGACCAGAGAGAGACCAGAGAGAGACCAGAGAGAGACCAGTGAGAGAGACCAGTGAGAGAGACCAGAGAGAGAGACCAGAGAGAGAGACCAGAGAGAGAGACCAGAGAGAGAGACCAGAGAGAGAGACCAGAGAGAGAGAGACCAGAGAGAGAGACCAGAGAGAGAGACCAGAGAGAGAGACCAGAGAGAGACCAGAGAGAGACCAGAGAGAGACCAGAGAGAGACCAGTGAGAGAGACCAGAGAGAGAGACCAGAGAGAGAGACCAGAGAGAGAGACCAGAGAGAGAGACCAGAGAGAGAGACCAGAGAGAGAGACCAGAGAGAGAGACCAGAGAGAGAGACCAGAGAGAGAGACCAGAGAGAGAGACCAGAGAGAGAGACCAGAGAGAGACCAGAGAGAGACCAGAGAGAGACCAGAGAGAGAGAGATCAGAGAGAGACCAGAGACCACTGGTCTAGTGCTAAATGTGTGTCTGTGTCTCTGTGTCTGTGTGTGTGTGTGTGTGTGTGTGTGTGTGTGTGTGCCTGTGTGTGTGTGTGTAGGAGGAAGGGTTCTCTGAAAGGTCGCAGGTGGATGTCGATCTTCAACATTGGAGGAAGATTCCACGAGACGCGACGAAGACACAAGACGTCAACAAAAGGTTCAAAGTGTTTTTGAATTCACAAGATGATGATGATGAGGAGGATGATGATGAGGATGATGATGATGAGGATGATGATGAGGAGGAGGATGATGATGATGATGATGATGATGAGGATGATGATGAGGATGATGAGGATGATGATGATGAGGATGATGATGAGGAGGAGGATGATGAGGAGGAGGATGATGAAGATGAGGATGATGATGAAGATGAGGATGAGGAGGATGATGATGATGATGATGAGGATGGTGATGAGGAGGAGAATGATGAAGATGAGGATGATGAGGAGGAGGATGATGAGGATGGTGATGAGGAGGATGATGAAGATGAGGATGATGAGGAGGAGGATGATGAGGATGGTGATGAGGAGGAGGATGATGATGATGATGATGATGAGGATGGTGATGAGGAGGAGGATGATGAGGATGAAGAGAAGGATGATGATGATGAAATGAGGTATAACATGCCATGGGCCGACAGTTTTCTCACTTTCCTGTTTCTTTCCAGAGAAAGATCATCCGACGTTGAGGGGAGCGCGCAGCATGGACTCCCTCAGCTCTCCCTCCCCCCGCAGCGGTAACAAACTCTACTTTTATCTTTTTATTTTTATATTTATGTTTTTTATTATGTTTGAAAAATGTTAGAATTTTGTATCAACTCAAATTCTAAGATTTCTAAAGTCATGGGTAGAAATCAGGAACCGATCTTTTAAACAGACAAGGGACCGTTTCAGAGATCCTGTCAGACCTCTGAAGCTAAGCAGGGCAGGGCCTGGTTAGGGCTGTGATGGGAGACCTTTGGGAACAGCAGGTGTCACAGTGGGGCGGCTGTAAAGAAAGACACTCACATCAGAATGAGTTTGGTGTGTTCGTGATTGACTGGAGGCAGTGGCACAGAATAGTAGTCTGTCCCAGGGCAGCTGTGGCCACACTACAGCGTAATGTGGCGGGTAACTTTTAATGTAATCATAGCAGCAATATGAAGGTAAGATTTCACAGATTTCCTCTTGTTCCTCCAGACCCCCACCCCTCCCCGCGGCCTCCCTCCTCCCACCTCTCGCCTCTGGCTGTGGCACAACCTCAGCCTCAGCCTCAGCCTCCCGCGGTGTCTGAACCTCCCGCTCCCACGTCTCCTCGCATTGTCAGTGAATACGCCGTCACCTACCGCCGCGGCACAGGACAGGTGACCACAGGGACCCAGGGCACCTACACCGCCTTAGACCCAGAAGGACCCACCTCCAACGACGCCGTCCAGACCAGATCCCCCGGACTCACGGCCAAAGCGGGTCGCAGGATCGCCGTGCACATCACGGGTCCCACCATGGTCACCGTGCCTCTGCATATCACCTCCAACTTAGCCCTGGGGGTTCTGCAAGGAGGTGGGGGGGACAGGATCATACACAGAGGGAGCAATAAGGAGGTGAAGGAGATGAAGGAGGTGAGAAGTGAAAGGAAAGGAAGCGAGGTGGAGAAGAGGGAAGCTGCCGATGAGCAGGGATCCAAAAGAAAGAGTGTTTTGGAGGTTTTCAGAGCTCCAACAGAGACCGAGGAGGTGGGAGAAGGACCATGTGAGCTGGAGGTGGGAGAAGGACCATGTGAGTTGGAGGTGGGAGAAGGACCATGTGAGCTGGAGGTGGGAGAAGGACCATGTGAGTTGGAGGTGGGAGAAGGACCATGTGAGCTTGAAGTGGGAGAAGGACCATGTGAGCGGGAGGTGGAAGACACGAGACCGTCCAACAGTGAAGCGTCAAACTCAGAGATCCAGAGGAAACATAGAAGCCGAGAGGAAGAGGCCATGGGTAAGTCAGACAAGGCACTTCTCTATACCAGAGAGAGACCAGAGAGAGACCAGAGAGAGACCAGAGAGAGCCAGAGAGAGACCAGAGAGAGAGACCAGAGAGAGACCAGAGAGAGAGACCAGAGAGAGACCAGAGAGAGACCAGAGAGAGACCAGAGAGAGAGACCAGAGAGAGAGACCAGAGAGAGACCAGAGAGAGACCAGAGAGAGACCAGAGAGAGACCAGAGAGAGACCAGAGAGAGACCAGAGAGAGACCAGAGAGAGACCAGAGAGAGACCAGAGAGAGACCAGAGAGAGACCAGAGAGAGACCAGAGAGAGACCAGAGAGAGACCAGAGAGAGACCAGCTAGCACCATTTGTGTGTTTTAAAGTTAGTGTGAATGAGAAACACTCTGGTACCTCTCTTTCAGATGTGGAGAAAGAGACTGGACCAGACCCGGAGCCAGACCCTGGACCAGACCCTGGAACTGAGGACTATGTGTTCGACCCAGAGGACATGTCTCCTGAAGCAGACGACCTGAACCTGTCCGGATACGTCCAGCACAACTTTGACTTCCTGGACCAGATGGACTGCAGCCTGATGGACCGGTCCTGTCGGGTCTGTGTCTCTCATCTGTTGGATCAGTCTCTAAAGGCTTCTACATCCAAACATTAACCAGAACATTAGAGCCCTTTGCACCACGGTCATGTTGATGGTTCAAGACATACTGTAACAATGGGTTAAGAGGGTTGGGGTTATCGAAGGTAGACTATAGTTTTTCACTGGAAATTGATAATGTTCAGTCAATAAAGTATCTATCGCTCTCTACCTCTATCTCTCTATCTCTGTCTCTCTATCTCGATCTCTATCTCTGTCTCTTTCTCTCGATCTCTGTCTCTCTGTCTCTCTATCTCTGTATCTCTATCTCTGTCTCTCTGTCTCTCTATCTCTGTCTCTATCTCTGTCTCTCTATCTCTATCTCTCTATATCTGTCTCTCTATCTCTGTCTCTCTGTCTCTCTATCTCTGTCTCTCTGTCTCTCTATCTCTGTCTCTATCTCTGTCTCTCTATCTCTGTCTCTCTATCTCTGTCTCTATCTCTGTCTCTATCTCTGTCTCTATCTCTGTCTCTCTATCTCTGTCTCTATCTCTGTCTCTCTATCTCTATCTCTCTATATCTGTCTCTCTATCTCTGTCTCTCTGTCTCTCTATCTCTGTCTCTCTGTCTCTCTATCTCTGTCTCTATCTCTGTCTCTCTATCTCTGTCTCTCTATCTCTGTCTCTATCTCTGTCTCTCTATCTCTGTCTCTATCTCTGTCTCTCTATCTCTGTCTCTATCTCTGTCTCTCTATCTCTGTCTCTATCTCTGTCTCTCTATCTCTGTCTCTATCTCTGTCTCTCTATCTCTCTATATTTGTATCTCTATCTCTGTCTCTCTATCTCTGTCTCTCTCTCTATCTCTGTCTCTCTGTCTCTCTATCTCTGTCTCTCTATCTCTGTCTCTATCTCTGTCTCTCTATCTCTGTCTCTCTATCTCTGTCTCTATCTCTTTCTCTCGATCTCTATCTCTATCTCTGTCTCTCTATCTCTGTCTCTCTATCTCTGTCTCTATCTCTGTCTCTCTATCTCTGTCTCTCTATCTCGATCTCTCTATCTCTGTCTCTATCTCTTTCTCTCGATCTCTATCTCTATCTCTGTCTCTCTATCTCTGTCTCTCTATCTCTCTCTAATGAACAGGAATAATCCTTTATACAGAAGCTAAAACTGTTCCTGCCAGAACAGCTTCATCATCATCTGAAACTGTAGACGTCGATCAAGACAATATGAGATTTTCTACATTTGACCTGAAAACAGGAAAGAGAAAAGAAAGGGGCCGAAAACAGGCCCTTGTGGAACACCAAAGCCACCGACAATTGTGGTGTTTTATACTTTGAGGTTTCAGGCGACATGTTACTTCCTGTACTTTAAAAGGTATTTTTGTATTGCCCAAATTCACAGCAGTATTCTCAGTGGACTTTACAAGGTTTTTGATTTAGCGGCCATAGATTAGAGAATCAAACACAGGAAAGTTAATGCTAACAAACACATTGGGGCCAATGGTCGAGCGGGAGCGGGATCTTGATCTGCTTTTAAAGGACGTTCATTCATAGTTTTTCTTGGTCATTCCAGATTCAGGAGTTTTCAGTGGAGCCTCCGGGAAACTACGAGGAAGAGTACGAAACCATGGACCATCCTCCGACTCCCCCCGCAACCCCGACCTTGGACGCCATCTCCCCTTCTCGCCTCCTCACCGCGGACATTCACCAACGCCACACCAAGTCCCTCAGCCTCCCCTTCATGAGCTCTCCGCTGCCAGAACCCGACGAGTCCGAGTCCGGGTCTGAATCTGCGAGCGACGTTAGCGCAGATTACGAAGAAGAAGAAGAAGAAGAAGAAGAAGAGGACATGTTTATGCAAAGTTTACCGTCCGATTTCTTCCTGAACGACTTGACAAACACAGAAACACAGCTGGGAGACAACCTCACAGTTTACGTCTCCAGCATGAAACTGATCGAGGGTGAAGTATCGGAGGAGCACGCTTTGGAAAGTGAGGAATCGGACGAAGAGGAAAGTGAAATTGCTGGTGAATCTTGTCAAACTAAAGAATCAGCGGACAAAGACATAGAAACTGAAGCTGTTTGTGTCTTGCATGAGGACGAATGCATGGACGGAAAACAAGCTGAGGTTGAAGAACAAAACACAGACTTAGTGGTCGACCAGGATTTAGAAAGAGAAGAAGACACAGGAGGAGATGACATTCAGGCTGTGCTCAGTCAGACTTGTGTTGTAGAAATGGAAGAGGACTGGCAATGTGCAGGAAGTGAAACCAGGAATGATTCACTCGATGGATCAGATGGATTAGAAAGTTGTGAACTGGAGGTGGATACTGAAGAAGAGAAAACTACAGAAGACGATTTGCACAAAGACACAGGTTCTGCTGATAAAAGGTGAGTGGATTTAATGCTTTGGCCTCATCAAGACCCAGATGAAACATATTGTAGGTTCTCTTTCTGGTCAATTTTCTGTAAATGCTGTACATTAGCAGCATGAGGCTCTGGGACACAGAGACACATGTGGTTTTATATTGCACATTAGTTCAAATTATTGCACATCATGTGAGGTCAGGTCGGCAGTTTTCATTAGTCCTCATTTTTTGTTGTACAGTCTGACAGCAGCAGGAAGGAAAGACCTGCGGAACCTCTCCTTCACACAGCGAGGGTGAATTAGTCTGTCACTGAAGCTGCTCTCCAGAGCAGAGAGAGTGTCCTGCAGGGGGCGACAGTCATGGTCCAGCATAGATGTTAGTTTGCTCAGGACCCTCCTGTCCCCCACCTGCTGCACTGTGTCCAGGGAACAGCCCAGGACTGAGCTGGACTTCCTGATGTTCCAGCTTCTTCCTGTCCCTCTCTGTGATGCTGCTGCTCCAGCAGACCACACCTACATGAGGCTGATGCCACCACAGAGTCATAGAAGGTCTTCAGGAGTGGCCCCTGCTCTCCAGGAGTAAACAAACTAGGTGACCACAGCAGCTCCTCCTGCTGTGGGTCGCCACCTGCAGAGCCTTAAAACAGTTTGGTTCTAGCCCAAGTTTTCACATGTTTTAAAGTCTCTGTCGCTTCTTTGCATCAGCTTTTTCAGACAGAACAGTGAAAAAGAGAGAACCACCCTCACTCTGCCAATCAGCTCTCAGCCCAAATAATAATAATGCATCAGTTTATACAGCGCTTTTCTGGACACTCAAAGTCTCTTAACATGTCATTATTCTTTCACTCCAAACACGGTGGTGATAAACTACTGTAGCCACAGCTGCCCTGGGGCACACTGACAGAAGCGAGGCAACCAGTATGTGCCATCGGCCCCTCCCACCACCACCAACCATTCACACACACACCAGACTCATTCTGGGCAATGGGGGTGAAGTGTCTTGCCCGAGGACACAACCACAGTTTGGCACTTTACAGCCGCAGCCGCCCCACTGTGGCACCTGCTGTTCCCAGAGGTTAAGTGTCTTGCCCAAGGACACAACAACAGCAGACAGTGGGAGTTGATGGTGAAGGTCGGACTCGAACCCACGACCCTCTGGCTCAAAGGCCAATGCTCTACCAACTGAGCTACTGTCGCCTTCAAAGCATCAAATTACATCCAGTGAACATTCTAAATGTAAAATCTAAAATGGCAAAATGTATTATTTATGAAGGAAAGTCCCAGCTTTCCGTCAAAGTAATATCTTTTTTGCCCGAGGTTTATAACGGTTTCCTCTGACACTGTTTCTTCTTCTGTTGCAGCCCTGAACCAGCAGGGGGCAGTGTAGTGGAGGTCAGACCCGATGATGAAGGATCGGACGAGGACCACATACTTCACCGACAAATGAACACAATAGACACAGAGGAAAAATGTGTGTCCCACAATCCACTGCAGGAAGATCAAAAGGAAATCACAGGAAACCATTTTGATTCAACCCAAAAGGAAAATCGTCACGGAAACGGCCAAATAGTTCCACCTGAGTTCGATGGGAACGGCATCGATGTGGATAATCTACAAGGACAATTGGATGAGGAAGAGGTTTTTGAAGAAACTGCTAAAGGGGAATCTATAGACGACATTTGGGACGAACTTGAAGACGTTGTTTGCGAAGTGATTGAAGATCTAGAGACACAAGAACCGAACGTGGAAAAGTCGACTGATATTGAAGAAAAAACCTGGAACGTATTAGATTCAGATGTAAATAAGGTCGAAAATCAGGTGCAAAAAGACAGATTTGAAACTGATATCAAACTTAAAGATGGGCATTATTATCTAAATGTTGCTAATGCTAAATGTGCAGTGGAAAAACCGAGCCAAAAACCGCCAACGGAAGCTAAACCCGAACACCTTCAATGCACGGAAATCCAGCAGTGTCCCGGCGTTGGAAGCAAAGTCGTGACTTCAAAACTCCCCAAGGTGTATTGCGCGAAAGCCGTGCCCATCGTCCCGCCAAAGTCACAGCACTGCAAGCTAACGGCGCTAACGCTACGCCAGCAACAGCAGAGGGCGCCAGAGGATCAGAGGTTGGAGGCGGAGGAGCTGAACGCGAATTGGTGGAAAGACAGAGACGAAAGCATCAGGCAAAGTCCGCAGAGCATGTGTTTCGATGAAGCCGTGGCCATCGCGACGCTACGCAGAGGAAAAGGCCGAGAGAGCGACCGAGACCGAGCCCACACGGCCAAAAGTGAAGAGAAATGAGTCAAAAATCGCTAAAATCTGGCCAAATGTGGGTTAATTTCAGCACATTCTGACTTTGCCTTTAAACAAGATTCCACAATGGGACAAAGCAAAATGATCTTGTTTTAAAGGAGGTAAATTACGGTTTAACTTATCTGTAGTAATACGCATTTTTAGGAACTCATTAGAAAATAAATCAGATTAAAGCTCCTTTAAAAATATACAAAAATGTCTCCCGCGTAATGAGAAAATAAAGAGAATCTTGTTTTAAGTCAGAATGTGTCAGATTAAGGTAAAAACCACTGGATTCTAGCAGTTATGACCTCATATTTGATCATTTTTGGCACACACAGGACAGACAATATACATATATGAGCTTTAACCATGTTACTTTGTGCTGTTATTTCATGTTTCAGACCAATGTCAAAAATCTGCCCAATTTTTCTTTCATCTTTAAAAATAGACAAAAACGTGAAAACCTCAACCTTTGACCCCCACAGTAGTTTCACACAGATGTCAGGCCTGTACAGACCTGTTTATACTACATTGTTGTCGATAATATTGAGATTTAAGTGTCTCTCGTAGAGCGCAGACCTTCACCAAGTGGCGCACCTGCCATTCATCCATCCATTTTCTTCCCCTTAATCCATTTCTGGGTCAGAGGGATGGCCACAGAGCACCAGCCCCTCACTGATCCTCCTGCAGGTGCTGAGTCCACAGGGGCCTTGTTCTTTCAGTGGGGGCTTCAGGCAAAGTGGGGTTAAGTGTCTTGCCCAAGGACACAGCAACAGCAGAGGGAGTCGGTCTCTCGTCGACAGTTTTCCTACAGTTTAAATCTATTCTCTCCAGTTCATAGGATAAGTTCGACTTTACTGATCTCACGCAGGAGAAGATTCATTTTCAGGATTTATTTTCTAGTGTTGCGTAAATAAACATCCAGACTTCAAATCAAAAGCATTATTTTCAAATACGGCCAAACTTAAAACCGCAGTCATCACAACAGTTGTTTCTGATTCACCGATCGCAGATTCGAGAACGCAAATCAGAACAAGAAAACCAGTAATGATTCAGGAATTTGTCCCACGGTGGGGAAATTTCAGGGTTGCAATCACAAGTGAAATAACAGAGAGAGACACATCTGTCGTAGAACCAACAAACAGTGAAACATACATGTGATACATATATAATAACATGTGATAAATATATAATAACATGTGATAAATATATAATAACATGTGATAAATATATAATAACATGTGATAAATATATAATAACATGTGATAAATATATAATAACATGTGATAAATATATAATAACATGTGATAAATATATAATAACATGTGATAAATATATAATAACATGTGATAAATATATAATAACATGTGATAAATATATAATAACATGTGATAAATATATAATAACGACTAAAGTATCAAAAACAAACTACTTTATCGTCAACTTCAACAAACCCCGCTCCTGTGCAGCGTTACTCTCTGGGTTCGTGGCCCGCTCCAGAGTCCAGGCCTCAGAGTCCAGGCCTCAGAGTCCAGGCCTCAGAGTCCAGGCCTCAGAGTCCAGGCCTCAGAGTCCAGGCCTCAGAGTCCAGGCCTCAGAGTCCAGGCCTCAGAGCTGGAGGGAGATTTCAGCTCATTCCACATCAATAATAATAATCCAAGTAAATCCTCCTCGCACTGTGTTCTCTCTTTGTCTAGAAGTTCTTTAGATCAGAGTTTGAAGGAACACGACTTTATGTTTGATTTGATTTTAATGAAATGAGAATGTTCAGAATCAGATGTTTATATTTTTATAACGTTGTGATAGGAATTGTTGAATAAAGTCAGTTTGGAGACGAGGCGATATGTTTATTTTTCTCAGAGATCAGAAAGAGAGACCAGAGAGAGAGACCGGAGAGAGAGACCGGAGAGAGAGACCGGAGAGAGAGACCGGAGAGAGAGACCGGAGAGAGAGACCGGAGAGAGAGACCGGAGAGAGAGACCGGAGAGAGAGACCGGAGAGAGAGACCGGAGAGAGAGACCGGAGAGAGAGACCGGAGAGAGAGACCGGAGAGAGAGACCGGAGAGAGAGACCGGAGAGAGAGACCGGAGAGAGAGACCAGAGAGAGAGACCAGAGAGAGACCAGAGAGAGACCAGAGAGAGACCAGAGAGAGAGACCAGAGAGAGAGACCAGAGAGAGAGACCAGAGAGAGAGACCAGAGAGAGAGACCAGAGAGAGAGACCAGAGAGAGAGACCAGAGAGAGAGACCAGAGAGAGAGACCAGAGAGAGAGACCGAGAGAGAGAGAGACCAGAGAGACCAGAGAGAGAGACCAGAGAGACCAGAGAGAGAGACCAGAGAGACCAGAGAGAGACCAGAGAGACCAGAGAGAGAGACCAGAGAGACCAGAGAGAGAGACCAGAGAGACTAGAGAGAGAGAGACCAGAGAGAGAGAGACGAGAGAGAGGTCAGAGAGAGAGAGACGAGAGAGAGAGGTCAGAGAGAGAGAGCAGAGAGAGAGACCAGAGGGATCAGAGAGAGAGACCAGAGAGAGAGACCAGAGAGAGAGAGAGAGACCAGAGAGAGAGAGACCAGAGAGAGAGAGACGAGAGAGAGAGACGAGAGAGAGAGGCTAGAGAGAGAGATCAGAGAGAGAGATCAGAGAGAGAGACCAGAGAGAGAGACCAGAGAGAGAGACCAGAGAGAGAGAGACCAGAGAGGGGGACCAGAGAGAGAGATGAGAGAGACCAGAGAGAGAGACCAGAGAGGGAGACCAGAGAGAGAGATGAAAGAGAGAGAGACCAGAGAGAGAGAAGCAGATAGACCAGAGAGAGACCAGAGAGAGAGACCAGAGAGAGAGACCAGAGAGAGAGATCAGAAAGAGAGATCAGAAAGAGAGACCAGAGAGAGAGACCAGAGAGAGAGACCAGAGATAGAGACCATGTACATATGTGTGTGTCATGTACATATGTGTGTGTCATGTACATATGTGTGTGTCATGTACATATACTGGCCTATAAACTGCACTACATGGATTCAAAACATCATCTTCTCAAAATGTGTTAATAAGATAATCTAAAAACCCAGATCTAAAAATAAACAGACTGTTCTGGCTCCTGGAAAAGCCACGTTCCAGCTTCTTCCCTCTGTCAAAGTCTTCTGAATTCTCAATGTATGCAAAAGAGAACGTCCTGAAGCTCAGGGTTTGAAGCTGATGCAAAACTGTGTCCGGTCTTTGATCTCAGGGAAATCAGACTCATGCAACACAAGGAGGGGGACCGCAGCGGCTACAAAGCAGCTAAATATCAGTTCAGGAAAGAACTGAAAGCAGCCAAGTCCCGGCACAGAGAACGACTACAGGAGCAGTTTGGTAACAACGATACTGCTTCTGTCTGGAGGGGCCTACGGGAGATCACCAACTACAAACCCAAAGCCCCCCCCTGTGCTGACGACCACAAGCTAGCTGACGAACTGAACTTATTTTTCAGTCGCTTTGATGCTGCCCCTGACACCTCTCCCTCCCCCAGCCCCCACTACTCCGCCTACAGGAGGGAGGTGGACCGGCTGGTGTCCTGGTGTCTCCTACAGGAGGGAGGTGGACCGGCTGGTGTCCTGGTGTCTCCTACAGGAGGGAGGTGGACCGGCTGGTGTCCTGGTGTCTCCTACAGGAGGGAGGTGGACCGGCTGGTGTCCTGGTGTCTCCTACAGGAGGGAGGTGGACCGGCTGGTGTCCTGGTGCAGTGGTAACAACCTGGAGCTGAACGCCCAGAAGACAGTGGAGATGATTGTGGACTTCAGGAAGAGCACTGTCCCCCCGCCCCCACCCTCCGTGATGGACTCCCCCATCACCTCTGTGGAGTCCTTCCGTTTCCTGGGCACCACCATCACCCAGGACCTCAAGTGGGAGCCGACCATCAGCTCCCTCATCAAGAAGGCCCAGCAGAGGATGTACTTCCTGCGGCAGCTCAGGAAAGCCAAGCTGCAGTTCTACACGGCCATCATCGAGTCCATCCTCACCTCCTCCATCACCTCCTCATCACCTCCTCATCACCTCCTCATCACCTCCTTCATCACCTCCTTCATCACCTCCTCCATCACCTCCTCTATCTCCTCCTCTATCTCCTCCTCTATCTCCTCCTCCATCACCTCCTCCATCTCCTCCATCACCTCCTCCATCACCTCCTCATCACCTCCTCCATCTCCTCCATCACCTCCTCATCACCTCCTCCATCTCCTCCATCACCTCCTCATCACCTCCTCCATCACCTCCTCCATCACCTCCTCCATCTCCTCCATCACCTCCTCATCACCTCCTCCATCACCTCCTCCATCTCCTCCATCACCTCCTCATCACCTCCTCCATCACCTCCTCCATCACCTCCTCCATCACCTCCTCCATCACCTCCTCCATCTCCTCCATCACCTCCTCATCACCTCCTCCATCACCTCCTCCATCACCTCCTCATCACCTCCTCCGTCACCTCCTCATCACCTCCTCCATCACCTCCTCCATCACCTCCTCCATCACCTCCTCCATCACCGTGTGGTTCGCTGGAGCCACAGTCAGGGACAAACAGAGACTACAGTGCATTGTGCGCTCTGCAGAGGAAGTGATTGGCCGCAGCCTTCCATCGCTGCAGGACCTGTACGTCGCCCGAGCTCGAGGCCGGGCTGGTCGTATCACAGCCGACCCCTCTCACCTGCACATGGACTATTCCAACCACTCCCCTCTCACCCTGCACATGGACTATTCCAACCACTCCCCTCTCACCTGCACATGGACTATTCCAACCACTCCCCTCTCACCCTGCACATGGACTATTCCAACCACTCCCCTCTCACCCTGCACATGGACTATTCCAACCACTCCCCTCTCACCTGCACATGGACTATTCCAACCACTCCCCTCTCACCTGCACATGGACTATTCCAACCACTCCCCTCTCACCCTGCACATGGACTATTCCAACCACTCCCCTCTCACCCTGCACATGGACTATTCCAACCACTCCCCTCTCACCTGCACATGGACTATTCCAACCACTCCCCTCTCACCTGCACATGGACTATTCCAACCACTCCCCTCAGGCAGGAGGCTGCGGTCCATCAGGACTAGAACCTCCCGCCACAAGAACAGTTTCTTCCCCTCTGCTGTTGGACTCTTGAACACTTCTTAACCTGTCCCCCCGCCCTTTATAAAGTCACTTTACTGCCCATCATACGTCACTTTACTTCACTGTACTGCTGTCACCTTACATTGTGTGCACCATGTGCACTTGTATATTGTAAATAGTAACTGTAACTCTATTTTAAATTTAAATTTATTCTTTAGAAGTGTTTTTTATTCTTATTTTTATTATCTCTTTCTGACTGTTGCACTGAGCCAAAGCAATTTCCAAGTCTGTGACTTCTGTTACTTACGTGGCAATAAAAATGATTCTGACAAGGTCAACTATGTAAGGTCTCTGGGTCTCTCTCTGGTCTCTATCAGAGAGAGACCAGGCAGAGAGACCAGAGAGAGACCAGAGAGAGACCAGAGAGAGACCAGAGAGAGACCAGAGAGAGACCAGAGTGAGACCAGAGTGAGACCAGAGAGAGACCAGAGAGAGACCAGAGAGAGACCAGAGAGAGACCAGAGAGAGACCAGAGAGAGAGACCAGAGAGAGAGACCAGAGAGAGAGACCAGAGAGAGAGACCAGAGAGAGAGAGAGACCAGAGAGACCAGAGAGAGAGACCAGAGAGACTAGAGAGAGAGAGACCAGAGAGAGAGAGACGAGAGAGAGGTCAGAGAGAGAGAGACGAGAGAGAGAGGTCAGAGAGAGAGAGCAGAGAGAGAGACCAGAGGGATCAGAGAGAGAGACCAGAGAGAGAGACCAGAGAGACCAGAGAGAGAGAGACCAGAGAGAGAGAGACCAGAGAGAGAGAGACGAGAGAGAGAGAGACGAGAGAGAGAGGCTAGAGAGAGAGATCAGAGAGAGAGATCAGAGAGAGAGACCAGAGAGAGAGACCAGAGAGAGAGACCAGAGAGGGGGACCAGAGAGAGAGATGAGAGAGACCAGAGAGAGAGACCAGAGAGGGAGACCAGAGAGAGAGATGAAAGAGAGAGAGACCAGAGAGAGAGAAGCAGATAGACCAGAGAGAGACCAGAGAGAGAGACCAGAGAGAGAGACCAGAGAGAGAGATCAGAAAGAGAGATCAGAAAGAGAGACCAGAGAGAGAGACCAGAGAGAGAGACCAGAGATAGAGACCATGTACATATGTGTGTGTCATGTACATATGTGTGTGTCATGTACATATGTGTGTGTCATGTACATATACTGGCCTATAAACTGCACTACATGGATTCAAAACATCATCTTCTCAAAATGTGTTAATAAGATAATCTAAAAACCCAGATCTAAAAATAAACAGACTGTTCTGGCTCCTGGAAAAGCCACGTTCCAGCTTCTTCCCTCTGTCAAAGTCTTCTGAATTCTCAATGTATGCAAAAGAGAACGTCCTGAAGCTCAGGGTTTGAAGCTGATGCAAAACTGTGTCCGGTCTTTGATCTCAGGGAAATCAGACTCATGCAACACAAGGAGGGGGACCGCAGCGGCTACAAAGCAGCTAAATATCAGTTCAGGAAAGAACTGAAAGCAGCCAAGTCCCGGCACAGAGAACGACTACAGGAGCAGTTTGGTAACAACGATACTGCTTCTGTCTGGAGGGGCCTACGGGAGATCACCAACTACAAACCCAAAGCCCCCCCCTGTGCTGACGACCACAAGCTAGCTGACGAACTGAACTTATTTTTCAGTCGCTTTGATGCTGCCCCTGACACCTCTCCCTCCCCCAGCCCCCACTACTCCGCCTACAGGAGGGAGGTGGACCGGCTGGTGTCCTGGTGTCTCCTACAGGAGGGAGGTGGACCGGCTGGTGTCCTGGTGTCTCCTACAGGAGGGAGGTGGACCGGCTGGTGTCCTGGTGTCTCCTACAGGAGGGAGGAGGACCGGCTGGTGTCCTGGTGTCTCCTACAGGAGGGAGGTGGACCGGCTGGTGTCCTGGTGTCTCCTACAGGAGGGAGGTGGACCGGCTGGTGTCCTGGTGTCTCCTACAGGAGGGAGGTGGACCGGCTGGTGTCCTGGTGTCTCCTACAGGAGGGAGGTGGACCGGCTGGTGTCCTGGTGTCTCCTACAGGAGGGAGGAGGACCGGCTGGTGTCCTGGTGTCTCCTACAGGAGGGAGGTGGACCGGCTGGTGTCCTGGTGTCTCCTACAGGAGGGAGGTGGACCGGCTGGTGTCCTGGTGCAGTGGTAACAACCTGGAGCTGAACGCCCAGAAGACAGTGGAGATGATTGTGGACTTCAGGAAGAGCACTGTCCCCCCGCCCCCACCCTCCGTGATGGACTCCCCCATCACCTCTGTGGAGTCCTTCCGTTTCCTGGGCACCACCATCACCCAGGACCTCAAGTGGGAGCCGACCATCAGCTCCCTCATCAAGAAGGCCCAGCAGAGGATGTACTTCCTGCGGCAGCTCAGGAAAGCCAAGCTGCAGTTCTACACGTCCATCATCGAGTCCATCCTCACCTCCTCCATCACCTCCTCATCACCTCCTCATCACCTCCTTCATCACCTCCTCCATCACCTCCTCTATCTCCTCCTCTATCTCCTCCTCCATCACCTCCTCCATCACCTCCTCATCACCTCCTCCTCCATCACCTCCTCATCACCTCCTCCATCTCCTCCATCACCTCCTCTCACCTCCTCCTCACTCCATCTCCTCCATCACCTCCTCCATCACCTCCTCCATCACCTCCTCCATCACCTCACCTCCTCCTCCTCCATCTCCTCCATCACCTCCTCATCACCTCCTCCATCACCTCCTCCATCCTCCATCACCTCCTCATCATCTCCTCCATCACCTCCTCATCACCTCCTCCATCACCTCCTCCATCACCTCCTCATCACCTCCTCCGTCACCTCCTCATCACCTCCTCCATCACCTCCTCCATCACCTCCTCCATCACCTCCTCCATCACCTCCTCCATCACCTCCTCCATCACCGTGTGGTTCGCTGGAGCCACAGTCAGGGACAAACAGAGACTACAGCGCATTGTGCGCTCTGCAGAGGAAGTGATCGGCCGCAGCCTTCCATCGCTGCAGGACCTGTACGTCGCCCGAGCTCGAGGCCGGGCTGGTCGTATCACAGCCGACCCCTCTCACCCTGCACATGGACTATTCCAACCACTCCCCTCAGGCAGGAGGCTGCGGTCCATCAGGACTAGAACCTCCCGCCACAAGAACAGTTTCTTCCCCTCTGCTGTTGGACTCTTGAACACTTCTTAACCTGTCCCCCCGCCCTTTATAAAGTCACTTTACTGCCCATCATACGTCACTTTACTTCACTGTACTGCTGTCACCTTACATTGTGTGCACCATGTGCACTTGTATATTGTAAATAGTAACTGTAACTCTATTTTAAATTTAAATTTATTCTTTAGAAGTGTTTTTTATTCTTATTTTTATTATCTCTTTCTGACTGTTGCACTGAGCCAAAGCAATTTCCAAGTCTGTGACTTCTGTTACTTACGTGGCAATAAAAATGATTCTGACAAGGTCAACTATGTAAGGTCTCTGGGTCTCTCTCTGGTCTCTATCAGAGAGAGACCAGGCAGAGAGACCAGAGAGACCAGAGAGAGACCAGAGAGAGACCAGAGAGACCAGAGAGAGACCAGAGAGAGGCCAGAGAGAGACCAGAGAGAGACCAGAGAGAGACCAGAGTAAGACCAGAGTAAGACCAGAGAGAGACCAGAGAGAGACCAGAGAGAGACCAGAGAGAGACCAGAGAGAGACCAGAGAGAGACCAGAGAGAGACCAGAGAGAGACCTTACATAGTTTGACCTTGTGTTGCATGAGTCTGATTTCCCTGAGATCAAAGACCAGTAATTCTCTGGACACAGTTTTGCATCAGATTCAAACACTGAGCTTCAGTTCAGGACCGAGCTCACTGCAAAAACAAACGACAACAGATAGATATTTTTTAACATAGATACAGTAGATTCTTTATCTATGCAGCAGCAGTACTTTAGGTCAGAGCAGTACTTTAGGTCACAGTAGCAGTACTTTAGGTCACAGTAGCAGTACTTTAGGTCACAGCAGTACTTTAGGTCACAGCAGCAGTACTTTAGGTCACAGCAGCAGTACTTTAGGTCACAGCAGCAGTACTTTAGGTCACAGCAGCAGTACTTTAGGTCACAGCAGCAGTACTTTAGGTCACAGCAGCAGTACTTTAGGTCACAGCAGTACTTTAGGTCACAGCAGTACTTTAGGTCACAGCAGTACTTTAGGTCACAGCAGTACTTTAGGTCACAGCAGTAGTACTTTAGGTCACAGCAGTACTTTAGGTCACAGCAGTACTTTAGGTCACAGTAGCAGTACTTTAGGTCACAGCAGCAGTACTTTAGGTCACAGCAGTACTTTAGTTCACAGCAGCAGTACTTTAGGTCACAGCAGTACTTTAGGTCACAGCAGTACTTTAGGTCACAATAGCAGTACTTTAGGTCACAGCAGTACTTTAGGTCACAGCAGTAGTACTTTAGGTCACAGCAGTACTTTAGGTCACAGCAGCAGTACTTTAGTTCACAGCAGCAGTACTTTAGGTCACAGCAGTACTTTAGGTCACAGCAGTACTTTAGGTCACAATAGCAGTACTTTAGGTCACAGCAGTACTTTAGGTCACAGCAGTAGTACTTTAGGTCACAGCAGTACTTTAGGTCACAGCAGCAGTACTTTAGGTCACAGCAGCAGTACTTTAGGTCACAGCAGTACTTTAGTTCACAGCAGTACTTTAGGTCACAGCAGTACTTTAGGTCACAATAGCAGTACTTTAGGTCACAGCAGTACTTTAGGTCACAATAGCAGTACTTTAGGTCACAGCAGCAGTACTTTAGGTCACAGCAGCAGTACTTTAGTTCACAGCAGCAGTACTTTAGGTCACAATAGCAGTACTTTAGGTCACAGCAGTACTTTAGGTCACAGCAGTACTTTAGGTCAGAGCAGCAGTACTTTAGGTCACAGCAGTACAGCAGTACTTTAGGTCACAGCAGCAGTATTTTAGGTCACAGCAGCAGTACTTTAGGTCACAGCAGCAGTACTTTAGGTCACAGCAGCAGTACTTTAGGTCACAGCAGCAGTACTTTAGGTCACAGCAGCAGTACTTTAGGTCACAGCAGCAGTACTTTAGGTCACAGCAGCAGTACTTTAGGTCACAGCAGCAGTACTTTAGGTCACAGCAGCAGTACTTTAGGTCACAGCAGCAGTACTTTAGGTCACAGCAGCAGTACTTTAGGTCACAGCAGCAGTACTTTAGGTCACAGCAGCAGTACTTTAGGTCACAGCAGTACTTTAGGTCACAGCAGTACTTTAGGTCACAGCAGCAGTACTTTAGGTCACAGCAGCAGTACTTTAGGTCACAGCAGCAGTACTTTAGGTCACAGCAGCAGTACTTTAGGTCACAGCAGCAGTACTTTAGGTCACAGCAGCAGTACTTTAGGTCACAGCAGCAGTACTTTAGGTCACAGCAGCAGTACTTTAGGTCACAGCAGCAGTACTTTAGGTCACACAGCAGCAGTACTTTAGGTCACAGCAGCAGTACTTTAGGGCCATACTTAGGTCACAGCAGCAGTACTTTAGGTCACAGCAGCAGCAGTACTTTAGGTCACAGCAGCAGTACTTTAGGTCACAGCAGCAGTACTTTAGGTCACAGCAGCAGTACTTTAGGTCACAGCAGCAGTACTTTAGGTCACAGCAGCAGTACTTTAGGTCACAGCAGCAGTACTTTAGGTCACAGCAGCAGTACTTTAGGTCACAGCAGCAGTACTTTAGGTCACAGCAGCAGTACTTTAGGTCACAGCAGCAGTACTTTAGGTCACAGCAGTATTTTAGGTCACAGCAGTACTTTAGGTCACAGCAGTACTTTAGGTCACAGCAGCAGTACTTTAGGTCACAGCAGTACTTTAGGTCACAGCAGCAGTACTTTAGGTCACAGCAGCAGTACTTTAGGTCACAGCAGCAGTACTTTAGGTCACAGCAGCAGTACTTTAGGTCACAGCAGCAGTACTTTAGGTCACAGCAGCAGTACTTTAGGTCACAGCAGCAGTACTTTAGGTCACAGCAGCAGTACTTTAGGTCACAGCAGCAGTACTTTAGGTCACAGCAGCAGTACTTTAGGTCACAGCAGCAGTACTTTAGGTCACAGCAGCAGTACTTTAGGTCACAGCAGCAGTACTTTAGGTCACAGCAGCAGTACTTTAGGTCACAGCAGCAGTACTTTAGGTCACAGCAGCAGTACTTTAGGTCACAGCAGCAGTACTTTAGGTCACAGCAGCAGTACTTTAGGTCACAGCAGCAGTACTTTAGGTCACAGCAGCAGTACTTTAGGTCACAGCAGCAGTACTTTAGGTCACAGCAGCAGTACTTTAGGTCACAGCAGCAGTACTTTAGGTCACAGTAGCAGTACTTTAGGTCACAGCAGCAGTACTTTAGGTCACAGCAGCAGTACTTTAGGTCACAGCAGCAGTACTTTAGGTCACAGCAGTAGTACTTTAGGTCACAGCAGTACTTTAGGTCACAGCAGTACTTTAGGTCACAGCAGCAGTACTTTAGGTCACAGCAGTACTTTAGTTCACAGCAGCAGTACTTTAGGTCACAGCAGTACTTTAGGTCACAATAGCAGTACTTTAGGTCACAGCAGTAGTACTTTAGGTCACAGCAGTACTTTAGGTCACAGCAGCAGTACTTTAGGTCACAGCAGCAGTACTTTAGGTCACAGCAGCAGTACTTTAGGTCACAGCAGTACTTTAGGTCACAGCAGTACTTTAGGTCACAATAGCAGTACTTTAGGTCACAATAGCAGTACTTTAGGTCACAGCAGTACAGCAGTACTTTAGGTCACAGCAGCAGTACTTTAGGTCACAGCAGTACATTAGGTCACAGCAGTAGTACTTTAGGTCACAGCAGTACTTTAGGTCACAGCAGCAGTACTTTAGGTCACAGCAGTACTTTAGTTCACAGCAGCAGTACTTTAGGTCACAGCAGTACTTTAGGTCACAGTAGCAGTACTTTAGGTCACAGCAGCAGTACTTTAGGTCACAGCAGCAGTACTTTAGGTCACAGCAGCAGTACTTTAGGTCACAGCAGTACTTTAGGTCACAGCAGCAGTACTTTAGGTCACAGCAGTACTTTAGGTCACAGCAGTACTTTAGGTCACAGCAGTACTTTAGGTCACAATATCAGTACTTTAGGTCACAGCAGTACTTTAGGTCAGAGCAGCAGTACTTTAGGTCACAGCAGTACAGCAGTACTTTAGGTCACAGCAGCAGTACTTTAGGTCACAGCAGTACTTTAGGTCACAGCAGTACTTTAGGTCACAGTAGCAGTACTTTAGGTCACAGCAGTACTTTAGGTCACAGCAGTACTTTAGGTCACAGCAGCAGTACTTTAGGGCACAGCAGCAGTACTTTAGGGCACAGCAGCAGTACTTTAGGGCACAGCAGCAGTACTTTAGGGCACAGCAGCAGTACTTTAGGTCACAGCAGCAGTACTTTAGGTCACAGCAGCAGTACTTTAGGTCACAGCAGCAGTACTTTAGGTCACAGCAGCAGTACTTTAGGGCACAGCAGCAGTACTTTAGGGCACAGCAGCAGTACTTTAGGGCACAGCAGCAGTACTTTAGGGCACAGCAGCAGTACTTTAGGGCACAGCAGCAGACTTAGGGCACAGCAGCAGTACTTTAGGGCACAGCAGCAGTACTTTAGGGCACAGCAGCAGTACTTTAGGGCACAGCAGCAGTACTTTAGGGCACAGCAGCAGTACTTTAGGGCACAGCAGCAGTACTTTAGGGCACAGCAGCAGTACTTTAGGGCACAGCAGCAGTACTTTAGGGCACAGCAGCAGTACTTTAGGGCACAGCAGCAGTACTTTAGGGCACAGCAGCAGTACTTTAGGGCACAGCAGCAGTACTTTAGGGCACAGCAGCAGTACTTTAGGGACAGCAGCAGTACTTTAGGTCACAGCAGTACTTTAGGGCACAGCAGCAGTACTTTAGGGCACAGCAGCAGTACTTTAGGTCACAGCAGC